GCAAGCTAGAAGTCTCACATACCTTGCTGCAAAGCGTTGACCATTTTTCTGCACTTTTAATTTAAAGAGCTTTAGCTGTGACAATTCAATTATTTCTACAAAAAAGACTAACGAAGCTACGGCTGGAATAAGACCCTTCCCTTGGCTGACTCTCATCCCCTTGCATTGCGGCATTAAAGCGCAATCTAAAATTTTCCAGGCCTAGTTTACTGTCAGAGCGTGTACACAGAACTTTGCATAAGAACCCAAGTGCGCCTTAGTTCAAAACTTTCGTCAAAAATATGCAAAATATCGAAAAGCACTTCCGTGAAAGTCTAAGCCAAATTTATTGCTTCCAGCTTTGTAGTGTTTGCAGAATCGACAGCTCACTTCCTATTATTTGAGGGAATGTCTCCCGGATTTTCTGAGAATTTCGGATTATCGGAATTCCATCGGAAAATAAGGCTTCCGAATAAAGAATTAAATATTTATAATAGAAAGCTCAAACCAACTTTAATAGTATACCTTGCAGGTCTCATTGTTAGCTAAACTTTTCATGTATACAGTACCGTTGTATGGGAAATGACCCCAGATTTCGATAATACTTGGCGTGAAATACCCTATAGAAAACGACGTATAAAAATACGTCGTTTTCTATAGGGCTTCTCCTAGAAATTTGACTTTCTTTGACGTCTTCAGGGGGCCCAAGAGAAACGCCAACAAAATTGTTTTTCTCCTATTATTTCTTCTATTTTTGTATTTACAATATATAATATCATAGTCTCTCCTATAAACAGCATCGACTATCTCATATACATATGCCTTTCTCTGACCGACCTTTCCTGCACTTTTGCGTCAAAAAAGATCGACGTAAATATGTGTTATGTCTCCACTACCAATGGAAAGCGGAAGTGAAAAATTTCAACGGTTGATTGTAAAGGGGAGGTTCAATGTGCGACGCTCAAATTTTGATGAAACTTGGAGCAAATTTAGAATAATTTTTTACGCAGATTTTTAGCTCGAACGTTAAAAAAATCGACACTTTTTACAAATTTTGGCCCGGAAGTCTCATACCAGTTTCTACCACAGAGGGTAGTATTTCAACAAAAAATTGTTTTTTCACGCGAGGCTATCGCTATGGCCAAAAAATTCTAACTTTTTCGTTTCCCCTTCTGACCACTCTCCGCATTTCGCGTACTCTCTCGGCCACAGTATATAGTCGTTGAATAACCCGGCTGTCCTGTAAAGCGCGGGCTAAAATTTTCAGGAATTCATACGCTATACACTTCATGACTGAGGTATATAGGAAATCTAAAGAAAACTTGAGCGTCGCACGTCAAACTGAGGAGTCCGGTGACCGGAATAGACTCTTCGCTATCGGTTTTTTACACTTTGTCATGATTTCGCAGAGAAAAAGAGAAAAAAGACACGTAAAAACGTACTCTCTCGCCCCAAAAATTCCCCATTTCTTCCCCCACAAAACGTTTTTTTGCGTCTTTTTTTGGCAAATTGCCAATCCATTCACCGGACTGTTTTAGCTTGTCTGGATCCTACTTTTCTCAGTTTGACGTGCGTCGCACTTGGAGTCTCGCAAGTAGAGCATCCAGGTAGATCATCAAGAAGGTCGCAAAGTCACACAGTTACACCTCTAGAAGCTGCATTCTAATTTTTTGGGGTTCAAATGGTCTCACAGACCTTCTTCTTACACACCAGCCCTTGGCGGACTGCCTTTCCGAGCCGTAGGAGCCAAATAAGCTTTTTTGTAGCCTTCGAACTTTTGCTTTAACTACATCTCTGTCAGAATACATTAATCTCCTCTTTAGTATCTTCCGCAATTGCTCTTCGCTCCCGAACGGCTTCCGTATTTCCAATATTCCAAAAAAAATAGGCTAGTCTCCGATGCTTGACCTAATACTTCCTACGTCCCATAATCAAGGCCCTCATTTGGGATTGTTTGCACGGCCCCGGGTTTGGCCCCGTTTCGTGGTCTTGATTCCGCGTTCGCATCATTTCACACGGTTTGGAATTAAAACTCGCTGCCAACGTGTTTGCCCCATTTCGAGGTGCGGTTAAACGTGAAATTCCCCCCGATAATGGCGCAATAAGTCAATTATTCCACGGCGCTGGAAATTTCGCACGTGTTGAAGTCGAACGGCACGTCTGGATGAGAATACTAGTCCTAGAAGGTATCGGAGGGACCCGGGTTATCGCCCTTACAAGGATTTTGAAGTGTAGGGCCTGGTTCGCATGGATTTCGCATTGTGTTTTAGGAACTGTCACCTTGAACATGTCCTATGACATGAACAAATATTGTAGTGTGGAAAAAAGTAGGAATTTGCCCATGCTTCAGGAAGTTATTTCACACGGTAAACTGTTGCGATGTTCCGATTTGGCAGAAGAGGCTTGAAATACGTTGATTAGAGGTTTAAAAATATTCAATGCGTCTTTACAAAATTTTTTATAGGACTATCAGCCTATCGAGAATACAATGAGCATAATGTAGCTGCGCTGCAGCTACACTGCGGCGCCGAAATGAAACGCATTTTGACTTTACCACGGCACACTTCATTTTCTTGGAGGCGATTTTCTAAAAACTTTCGGGGCTTTGAGTCCAAAACTTTGTGAAAATTCAACGATTTTTAAGGATTATTTTTAGTGAAAGATATCAGTCCGTCGGGAAAATAATGTGGATTTGTCGGGCCTTGGAATCGCCCATTATCACTTTTCTAGCCGCGTCTGGATATTTGGTGTGCGACTGCGACGAGGCAAAAATTTTAGTTGCGGCAAATCCACATTATTTTCCCGACATACGGATATCAGCTTTATTTCTACCAAAGAATAGTGCCCAGGGCAAATTTTTGGTTTTTAACGCATTAACGGGTCTATTTTCTCTTCAAACACTCCTTTCAAACTCCAAAATCCAATGAGCCCTTCTGATTTCCACCAAAACAGTGCGATAAACTACAATTTCAGGGTTTTTGCGCCAGATTATCTGCAAATTTTACCTCGAATAGATGTGTAGATTCTGTCTTCTAGGTATTTTACCGCAAAAATGTTATCTGCAACGCATATAACGAGGCCCCAAAATAGCAACTCAAATCTGTTTTTCAATTTTCCCCCGGAGGGAGAGGGAATTTCGAGTCAGTGTCATTTGGGAGACCGTTAAATTGGGCCGGTTTTAAGCCGCAATTAAAGAAATTACGCAGTTTGGCCCCATTTTCAACAAAGACTCTGGTTTCTGGTCTTGGCAATGGAATAACCATCAGTCTGTCGGAAAAATAATGAGCACGATGTTGATCGCGTCGCTGAAGTGAAAAGCATTTGGATTTTGCCGCGACACAATTTATTGTCTCGGCGGCGCTGCGATTTTTGATGCGACAGTGTGCTCGTTATTTTCCCGACAGACCGATAGACATGACGCCCAAGGGCACGAAGGACGGAAAGGTCCGCTGCGGAATGGTCCGCTAAAAAAAGTAAGAGGAGGGCGGGGAGCGGGGAGGTTTTCGATGACGCTGATTTCGAATATCGTATCCATTTTTTCTGAATTTTACAATTTCGCTTAAGCAGTAGCGTTAATTAGTAATTTTTAAAAAATTTTCTTTAAGTAATGGATTTAGGGGTTTTCAATGACGCTGATTTTGAAGATCGTATTCATTTGTCTCAATTTTTGCTTTAATCTTCTTCAATTCTTCAAGGTAAATGTTTTAATTGGTAAAAACTTGGTCAAACTTTTATCATCTGGTGAGAAAACTTCTGACGTTTTTTCGTCTTTACAACAAACATTGACATTACCGATGGAACAAAATTGTGGGAAAGTGGATATAATTTTCAAAATCAGCGCCATCGAAAACCTCCATTCTCCCCACTCCCCGCCCTCCTCTTTCCTTTTTTAGCGGACCTTTCCGCAGCGGACCTTTCCGTACTCAATCGCCCAAGGGGGGTCGAAGCAAGCTCAAAATGGGCTGGGCCAGACATCGCAGGTGGCGGCCCGCTTGAAAATTTTCAAAGCCCGGCTCTGGTGAACCCTCGGCCCGGCCCCAATTTTTTTCAAATTTTATAACAAATTTTATTTTTTTTTATTTGCCCGAAGTTGATACGAAATGTGTGTAATGCGCCGTGCTTCATAGCAAATATCCAACAGTCTGAATCTGCCACCTTAAATTATCATTTTTTCAAGGACTTCTTCATTCCGATGCAAGGAAATTTCTTTTCTGAAAAGTGGCCGGGCAAAATTTATTTTGCAAAGCGATAATAGGCGATTCCGAGGCCAGACGAACCAAAATTATGTTCCCTACAGACAGAAATTTTTCATGCCAAAGATCACAAAAAATCGTCGAATTTTCGCCCAAGCTTTGGACTCAAAGCCCCAAAAAATGTTTTTGCAATATAGCAGCTACTAATCTATGTAGATGTATCAGTCTGTCTGGAAAATAATGTGGATTCTCGCAGCAATTTTTTTCGGCTCTTTTGGCAATTTTCAGTGATTCATCGCAAGCGGCGATGGGAGATTTCAAGACGCGACAAATCCTCATTATTTTCCCGACAGACTGATATATGTCTCACCGAGGCACATTTCATTCCAAATTCCATACAATGTGTTATGCCAGCCTTGTTGAACTTTGCTCCGCAGACAACATACCGACGTTTGACCTCTGGCCGCTGTTCACACACGTGAAATTTACATTTCGCTAAAGTTCATGCACTTTTAGCCGGTTGCAACGCTTTAAAAGGTGTCAAATCCGCGAAGAAGACTAGCGCAATTCTCGGCCGTATTTACAGAGATTTCTCCTCTTCGGCTTGTTGCACTTTCAAGCGTATTTTTCGTACTCCGCACCTACATAATTTATGAATGGCATTTTGTACGCGCGTGGCATTTTACACACGGCCCACATACCGTGTTCTCTGGCTTATTTCGTTTCCAACTTTTGCGCGCTACAGCCGCTGAAACTACAATAAAGTTTAGGTGGAGCGGTTACAATTCCTCGGGAAATATTGCGAATCCACCGCTGCAACGGCCGAAAATGCGCAAGGCCTCCGTTTCGGCGCAACTCACGGGCTTCGCGCGCAAATTCTCCGCCGCCATCGCGCCGCAGCTCACCAAACTCGATCCCGTCCCGACGCTGTTGCGGCGCAAAAAGTTGTCGATCAGGATTGGAAGCATGACTCAGGTAAGCGATAAGCTAAATAAGGGGAAATTTCTCGCGGATACTCGCTGAATCTTTCGGGTTGGCCAAGAGAAATTCCAAGGGAAGTCCTACAGTAGCGGACCTGACCCAGTGTCAAAAAACATACCATTTTTCATCCAGGAAGTATCGAAAATGTGGCAAAATACCTCCATTTCCAAGTGAAAGACTTCCGATTTCAAAAGCGCTCTTTTTGTGAGGGAAAAGGCGCGCTCTTCAAAAAGGAGTTATTCCACTTGAAGAAGTAAACATTTTTCCACATTTCTGAGAGTCTTGACTCGGACTTCAAGAGAAACTTGAAGTCCGAGTTTTTTCACTTGGAGAGGGAGATATTTTGCTACATTTCCGATACTTCCCGGAAGCGAAATGGCACGTTTCTTGCCACTGGATCCGGTCCTCTACCGTACAATTGCGACCACGTCAAACTGAGATAAGCTAAAACAGTCCGGTGAACTGGCAACTTGCCAAAAAAAAGACGTGAAAAAACGTTTTGTCGGGGAAGAAATGGGGAATTTTTGGGGCGAGAGAGTACGTTTTTGCGCGCCTTTTCTCTGTCTTCTCTGCTAATCCAGGCGAAGTGTAAAACACCGATAGCGAAGGGTCACCGGACTCCTCAGTTTGACGTGCGATGCTCAAATCTTCATGAGGATTGGTAAAAATTTCATATAAAACGTGTGACTTTTTTTACTAATTCTGGCATGAAAAGTTACCGCCTATTTCTACCGAATAGTTTTGTGTGGCAATGTAAAGTTATCAACAATAAGAAGGGCTCGGCAAAATTTTGTCCCCTGGTTTTAAAACGTATACAGTGGGGGACCTAATCCCGTGGCAAAAAACGTACCATTTTGCAGCCAGGAAGTATCAAAAATGTGGCAAAACACCTCTCTCTCCAAGTGCAAAAACTCAGGTTTCAAAAGCGCGCCCGCTCTTTGAGTGAGGAAAAAGGCCGCGCCCTTCAAAACAAAGTTTTTCACTTGGAGAGGGAAACATTTTGCCACATTTTTGATACCTCCCGGATGCAAAATGGAACGCTTTTTTGCCACTGAACCAGGTGGCAAAGACCCACTGTATGAGTTTTTTTTCGAGCTTGGTAGGCACTCAGGACAAACATATAAGCCATTTTCAGGCTCAATTTTTACATTCTTTCAGTTTAGCTGGCATTACTAATAAAACAAGAGTCTTTTAAAGTTTCAACCATCCCCATAAGGTCAAATGACAAAACCGATGTTTTTTTGTAAACATTACATTACTTTAGCCTTGTGACAAAAAGATTCATAGATCACTGTTGTCACCATCTTCTAGAGGGTTCGTTTGTTTACTCTTGGATACGTAAAACAGAGAGCGCTATTTACCGAGGTTTTGGAACGAACTTCTCATTAGATGACGTTTTTTTTGCTTGCTATTGTTTTGAAAAAGAGCTTTGAATAAAGAAAATTTGCGTAGGCCACAAAAATCTTTAAAAAAATTTAAATTTATAGCCTTTAGCAGTTTCTACAAGGTCTACAAGAACGGGGTTACCCTCAAATTTTATCATCGAAATATCCTATTTTTCCAAAATCATATTTTTAGCTGCAAACCGCGTTGAAACAGTTCGTTCTCCACAACTCCGCGAACTTTGATCCCGTCGAGTTCGAGATTTACGATGACCAAATTCAACAGGTCGTCATGACCGCCCAATTCTACGCCGAAGAGCTGATCGTTTTCGAGGGCACGCGCCGCGTTCTGAGCGTGGTGCTCGCCGAATGCGATCCGGATGCGGACAACTTTACGCTCGCCAAAATCCGACATCCCATCTCAGGTAAAACCACCTCAATTCTTCCGGAAACCATGAATTTCCTCGGGAAAATCAAGTTTTTTTTTGCTGATTTTAGGAATAAAAGTCTATGAAATGGTCTCGGTTCCAAATCGAAGTCACCAATATTACATCACGAATTGCATGGACGAAACGGCGAAGTGCGAGTTCCAGGTGCACTCCAATTTCTGGCGCAAACTCTTATCGACGTGTGGGTTCACGTTCGTCTCGGATTACTGGACCGTGGAGCAGGACGGGATTCCTGTTGGATTTGTAAGTGGTGTGGATGTCGCGACACATGTCGCTTTGGTCATGGGTACCCCAGTCTACTTTTTTGACATTTATGGTTATCTTTCTCCTCTATGAATCCTTGAGCATCTATCCTATCATACATACAGCCGAGATAATCACCGTACCTTTGTTTGTTTATGCGCGAGAACGCGTAGCATTGAAAAAGCAGGAAATTTCAAGCGAAAAAGCGAATTCTTAAAGAAGTTTTCCTCTTTTGACGGACAAAAATTTTGATATTTTTTATTATGAATCTCTCGGGAAGGTAGTGGCGGGTCGTAGCAGCAAAATGTTTCGTCTCGTCGAAAAAAAGGGTGTACTTGAGCACCAAAGGTAAAAGTTCCTTATTTTGGCCACAACTTATAACTTTGCGGAAACTGGTCGGAATTAGCCCAAATTTAGCGTGCACGCTCAATTCATCGTTGTCAATGCCCGAACAGTGGATTTAGTTAGTGAGGTACCTTCTTTTTTACGTACCATCTTACCCTTTAAAACGGCTGCAGCCTGTGATTTTACACTTTATACGATGAAACATGTCCGGAACTAAACTTATTGCCTCCGTACGGAACTAAATGAGTCGTCACAGCCTTCTTGGGTACCCTTAAAACTACAGAACTATTACAGTAATTCAGTGCCAGCTAGGTCGAAGCGTTTTTTCCTAACTTTAGTGTCCAAGCTTGGGCGCAGTTCGCGGAGTACCTTTGTTGTGGCCAAAATAAGGAACTTTTTCCGCACCAAATTTCCAGCTGCGCCTAGCCGTCGCAAAGCGATGATGAGCGATTCTAACGCGCGTCGACCCGCCATTATTTTCCCGACAGACCGACAGAACATCCGTTCAGAAATAACCGAGATTTTTTTGTTAGAAGCTTGATCATAAGTCATCACTTTTACGCAAAAATTCCAGCCTAAAATATATCTTCTGTAGATTGGTATATTCCCATAAAAATCAAAATTTTGCACCAGAAGTTGGCAGATTAATGGTCAAAAAGGGGCTTTTCAATCTGTCGGGAAAATAATGAGCACCCTGTCGCACCAAAAAATTGCATCGCCGCGGAGAAAATGAATTGTGTCGCGGCAAAATCAAATTTCTTTTCACTTCAGCGACGCGATCGGCGCAGCGGTATTATCCTTATTATTTTCCCGACAGACTGATACCTATATATTCCATTAACAATCTACCTGTTTCAGGTAACCCCCGGCGGCACGATAGTCGGCGAAAACGAGATCAAGGTGGAGTGGTGCGACGAGGCGGACATGGAGCTGCGGACTCTGATACTATGCATCGGACTAGTCCAAACAATACGCGAGGCCTTCCCCAGTCTTCTACATATCCTCCAGGAATACCGAATAAAACAAAACAGTTAATCTTAACCCTTTTTTGTTCAAACTTTCGAAATCTTGGGTTTGAATTGAAGTCGGAAAACTCATTTTTTTAAATTTTTCAATTTGAAATGACACTTTTTTGTTCGGTAGATTTGATTTTTATACCACTGACTTCAATTCGAGCGCAGGGATTGTTGCAATTTAGGTCGGGAGCAGATATATTGTTGTACATATTTTTTTGGACTTACTAACATATATATTATTTAACAAAAAAAAGTAAAACGTAAACTCGGTTCTTTAAAATAGACATATACATAATTGATTATTTTTCAGGGTACGTATCATTTAAATTAAATCTGCGTGCTGCACTTAAGGTACTTCCTTTGTAAAACGACAAATCAGCAAGATGAACTGCCCAGATTTTAGCACCGTGACACCAACAAATGACAAAAAATGGACACGACATTTGATGCCACAAGGAACCTACCTTCGCTGCATTTTGCTCGACTTTTGCCAACCGGCTGTGCTTGTACATGATGTATGGCGCAAAGTTTGGAACGGTGAATCAACTAAAATCAGCAGCGACTTCTCGTGGCAATGGAGAAGGACTAGACTAGAAACAATCTAAAAATATTAGCCATATTGATATTATAGCCAGAAGAAAACGAAAGATTCAAAGTACGCCTTTGCAAAAACAACCGAGGGTCTCACAAGGGCTCGGCAAAAACTCGTCCCCTGGTTTCTTTTTGAAATTTGCATTTCTGAGTTCGGAAAGGTAAAAGAAGTTGAGCCAAAAAAAAATTAGCTGCTATTAAAGCTTCGGAGCCGAGTTATGGCGGCTTCAATATTTTGGTTAAATTTCCCCTCTCTTCATGAGCGTTCCGAAAGAGGGAGAGAAGTGTGTTCAAGTGGCGGAGTGGTTGAAGCGCGGATTGACAGTTGGAAGGGGGCTGGTTCGGTACCCTTCGACGTTGTATTTTTTCATTTTTGCCAAAAAACTAAAATTTAGAGGTCTTGAGCTCTGTTACGTTCATTTAATTGTTTTTTTCTTTTTTTTTTGGTTTTTACCTGATAATAACTGAAACTAACTAATGGATCTGAAAAATATTAACAAGGCTAAAAAAACTTATAAAAACTTACTAATGGATGTGTTTTTTGGCAAAAAAATGTTCAAAACAATAAAATTTCTCGCAATAAGAGCATCGAATGAAAGAATACTGGCCACAATTGTCAAACTCACATTTTTTTACGGTATTTTTCGGGAAACAAAATTCTACCGGCGTGTCATATCGGTCAGGGTGGGCATCTAAAAAACCGGCTCCTGTCCAGTCGGCTCGTAAACAGTGTCCTCCTCTTCGTCCATAGAAACCATATCGGAGTCCCTCATTTCCAACAAAAGGGTCATCAGAATTTGCGCTGCCTTTTTTTCATCCCTAGTCGCAATGGACAGGTCATTAGCCGCAGGGCATTTTTGGTTCAGCAAACCAATCACAATACTCAAATCGATACTCATTCTTGTTCGAAACGAATGCCTTCAAAACACTTTACCTCCGGTCTAGGTCACTAATTAACAAAATTATTTTTGTTTCCCTGCTCACGTCTTTTGATTTTTGTTTAAAAAATTGTCTTCAATGCTTTCCCAGTATTCCAAAAAACATTTATTTTACAAAAAAAAATTTTTTCATGTCGTATACCGCATTCCGCAAAAAAATCAAAAAAAGCGGGGCACGAGGCACCGAACCACCCCCATCCCAACTGTCAATCCGCGCTTCAACCACTCCGCCACTTGAACACACTTCTCCCCTTCTTTCGGAACGCTCATGAAGAGAGGGGAAATTTGACCAAAATATTGAAGCCGCCATAACTCGGCTCCGAAGCTTTAATAGCAGCTAATTTTTTTTTTGGCTCAACTTCTTTTACCTTTCCGAACTCAGAAATGCAAATTTCAAAAAGAAACCAGGGGACGAGGTTTTGCCGAGCCCTTGTCAGGCGGAAAACTCGGCAAAAAACTATTTTCCCAAAGTTTAAGGGGTGCTACGACTCTTCGGGTCAGGGAGATGGAGCCACCACACATTTTGATATGTAATCTCTGCTGCTGATATCGAAAATCATTTTCATTTTCTCTGATCTTTACTTTTTTTCCTTTAGTAGAACTGTTAAGCAGTAATTTTTAAAAATTCCATTTTCGGACACACCGGGAAACACCGAAAAAACAACCGAAAAACGGCCGAAAAAATGAACTCCAAGAATAAATCCAATAACTGTAGATGACACTTACTATGTATAACATATTTGGTTTCAAACAAAATGGGGTTGTCAGGCGATTCAGGGAAAAAAAGGATTTTAAGATTTGGCCAAAAACTAAAGAAGTTATAGCCAATTCAAATCGGGCCACAAAGATGCCCACCCTGCATTAAATTTATCGGTTTTCGATGGCGAAATCAAATCCATTCTTTACATCGTAACATTACATTTAAAAATTTCGTTGACCCGAAACTTCCCTTGTGAATTTGAAAGGATAAACCGAGTTCATAAAAAAAAGCCCCTTTTACTCTTTGGTATGTCGTTGCTCTGACTTGCTCACGAATGCATTCGGGACTGGATAGCTCATGAAATTTCACACCTTGACTCGAAAGCTTGCAAGCACAAACAATGCAGTTCAAGTCAAATTATAAAAAACACATTCATAGAGGGGATGCCAAAGATTATAAGGACTAAAAATTGAGACAAAGAAATGTAAAATACGTTGATCCTAGAGCCAGATAATCCCAGAGTCTTCAAATTTTTTAGGGTTCGAAAAAAACCGTCCAACTTTTCGGGTAGCCGACAGTTCGGGTCAACAGAAAACAATCTATCGATACGGGGCGTAGGGTATGTGGAAAGCCAAAAAATGGTAGTAGAAAGTGCCTATAAGGCCTGGAAAAACCTTTGGATTCTCGGCGGACGCACGGCGAAGGCTCGGCGGAGACTTGGCGGAGACTGTCAATATGTATACTTTCTCTAATTTCTTGCTATTACAAACGTTAGTTTTCTTTACCTTGAGTTGTGGCGACATATAAAAGACCAAAATTTGGGACAAAACCAAAGATCCGTGACTTTTATCTATAGACATTGTCGATGCAAGTATGCATGCGAAATACCTCAAAATAGGTGAGAAAATACCCTAGGACCTGAACAAATCTAATTATTTCTATTAATTTAGTCTTCACCAAGCCTTCTCCATGCATAAAATGATAAATTGAAGCACCCAAAAGTATCGTCGACCTGAACTGTAGTCGACCCGAAAACTCATAGCACCGTGATAAGGGTTAAAAGTTGGGGCAAAAAATGTGAAATACGTTGATAAGAGAGCTGATCATCCCAAGGCTCTCAAATTTTGGGCTTCGAAAAAAATCTGTCGAAAATTTTAGGCATCATTAAACATGATGATTTCAAGCAAAAAATGGAAGATTTCAATTTGCAGCAAATAAAATTTTTTCGACCAGGCAATACAAAAGCTGCAACAGACTACATGCTAGTCCAATCTTTCATCTAATCGTCGTTATTCACTTCCTTTTACAAAAAATTTCAATTTTCTGTCCAAAAACCAAAATTCGAGAGCTCAAAAAAGAAACCAAAAAATCCTACCGTAATCTGCGGTGTTCGGGCCGCAAAAAATGGTGACAAAACAATTCGCAGTAGCGGTTTTCTGTGTGGTCAACAAAAATCCCCCACAACGGCAATTTCGCCCTCCGGCAATCCGTGTTTGGCATCCCGCCGAGCGCACGCTAATTAAAATTTTCTTTTTCCGTCCGCCGATTAAACGCAAAATTATTCGTCCCAAGAGTGCGGAGGGTGAGATTTGGAAGACGGAAGGGCTAATAATTCGCTTTCGGGTCCCGTGTGGATTGCAAATATATTGCGTTAGTGATCAGCGAGAGAAATGAGGAAAAGCTAATAAATCAGAAGCGGAAGGCCGGAAAATCATATTCGTTTAGATGATTTCAGCTATATGAGAGATGAATTAGGCTAGAAAAGAGGCTATTCGGAATAAAAATACGGTAAAACCATCAAATTTTTGATTTTAATCCAAAAATTTCGAAGAAAATCGGATTTCTGGTCAAAAATTTATATTATACTCCGCAATGCTCGATTTAATTTTTCTTTCAAGACATAATATGACATTTAAAAGCCATCATATGCCAAACAGAATCAAAACAAAGCAGTTAGAACCAATTTCTGACCTTATTTTATATTGCACTTGATGCCAAATCCAAAAAAGAATCGTAAAACCTTTTTTCGACCCTTGCCAAAGGCTCATTTCCCCAAATAAAGGACTCATATTCAATATCAGAGCTAAAAACATTAAAAAATCGTGTAAAATCAAAAAATATTTTACATTTTTAACCCCTTCTTCAAGGCCCACCACTTAGTCAACAAAATGATTTATAGTGTTTTCAATTTTTTTTTATTTCGAGTCATATATCATATTATTGAAACTGGCCCAAGAAAACAACCAGAAAGTGAGTCGGGCCAAAGATAGCCACAAATCTAGCAAAAATATTGGAAATATTACACTAATCCTCATGGTTAACATATTCTAACATCGAATTTTGACTCTGTCCTAAGAAAATTGTAAGTTAAAACAATTTGATAGTAATTGTTATTGGAAATAATACGTTTACTAATAAAAATTTCGAAAATTTGTTGCAAATACGACAAGCTATGACAAGAAGTAGTGAGAAAACAGCTATTGTAGTCAGAAAATGTAAATTACAAGTGAATTGAGTGGGGGAAAAGTTCATCGAATCAGCAAGATATCCGGATTAGAAATCTAGTCGATCAATTTCGGCGCATCTCCCCATTGCTGCGAGATCCACCAGATGGTCTTGACGGGGATCTGAGGGCCGATCAGGGGATTCAGTTGGTGCATGTAGACGATGATCCAAAACAGGTGACAACATACCGCTGTTAGGACGATCATGGTCTGGATGATACCTGGAAAGGATTGGCTTAGCGAGGCGGCTGTTTAGAACGATAATTATATTGATTTAGGTATCTGATATGTTAACCTTGGAGAAACTAATGAATTGGCGTCGCATACTGACGATTGTACGTATTTTACCCTCTAAAAAGTAACACAATGCTTGAGTTTAAATAACAAGCCAGAAAAAAGCCGCTAATCCCGACAAAATCGCCTTTTTCTCCATCCACCTCTCATGAATAACATGATTTACCTAAAAATCGAAAAGCAAAAGCTATGAAAAATATTACTCACCTTTATTAGGTCCACTAGGCACCAAGAATGGTCCTCCAGCTCCAACCAGCAGCCAGAACGCCGTTACTGCAATAATTGGAATCCAAACGGACATCCTGAAATTAGGTGTAATAAAGAAACCCACAAGTGAAAAAAATTGAAGTTTAAATTCGCGAAAAAGAGGCACAATACATAGACCTTTTTATAACAAAAATCAAAATTATACCTAGATAAGAGAATATTTTACAACAAAATTTTTATCTACTACAACATCAATTACGAATACAAAAATCATATTGGATATCCAAAAACCTTCTACCATTGTAAACAGTATAGTAAAAGTGAAGATTATCACAGGTGGGTCTCGAACGATGCAAAAAACCAGAAAGTGTTGATCTCTCGCGGCGACGAAAGACCAACCATAAAATCAATAGCTGAAAAGTGAAACCACGAAGAGCGAACAGCGTCTGGGTGGGTTCTGTATTTTTTTTTGTAGACCGTTATCGCTGAGAGATGCAAATTTATCGACTTGGAAAGATAATCGACCAATTCTAGAATAATTTCTGGCAAAAAATTGATAAATGCGCGCCAGCGACGTTATCGGTTTTCCGGCATTTCCGGCAGACTGCGCCCGAGTTTAGATGCGAAATGTGATAAAGGTTTAATTTTGCATGTTTTATAAAATTATCTTACAAACTTGTTGACAACGTGTCAGATTGTAATATCAATACCACAGTCCGCCCAATTATGGCAATTTATAATACGTTTTCTGATAAAAGGTATATTACACTGCATTTCTACCGAAATTTGGTTATTTTTTTGTAAATGGTGAAATCTATTCTGAAATTATTACGACGAAACAGTTGTCAATTCATTTTCTGCCTTATAATGGCATATCTGTAAACTATAAAACACTAGTTTTTTAGTTTTTTCATAAAAACACCTTCAATTCTTTAAAATTAGTGGGCGCAGCTCGCGCGAAAGGCAATTTTTTCTCTCCAAATTTTCTTCGATCAAAAATCGGTTTTGACATTTCGTCCGAACGGTCTTTCTCTGCGTTTCTTGCTCTCTTTTCGTGCAATCGGCCGGTAACCTATACCTCAATAATTGTTCCGTTCAGGTGCTTATCACCAACCGCACAAGAACGATGGCGAAATTGTGTCCAATTTGTGGCCCAAAGCTCTCAGCCTTCTGGTAAGTTATTGGATCATTTTTTCGATTTGTTTCCTATCGTATTTTACTGTAAATTTACCAAGAATATTACAGCATGATCATGTCAGTATGGGGAGTAATTTTCCTCGGACTTCTTGGCCTTTTCTTCCATTTGAATGCAGTGACACTCTTCCCCGACCTTACTGTTGAGCAGTTGAACCTAAGGTATGTCTATTTTTGTATTTTTTTACTTTTAGGTAGGATCTGGCTTTTAGAAGGAGGCATATTGCTTCTAGATTTCTGACAGATGTGTTAGACCTTTCTGCTTGCCGTCAATTTTCGATTTATGTTATCCATGGCTTAAATTGCTATTCTGTTCGAAATTTACAAATATTTTGATGTTTTCAACGGAAAATCGGAGAACCCTTGATTTTTTTACCTGCAGTAGGGTCCAATGCAACTTTTAGTAGTATATTTGAACCGTTGACATACCTCTAAACCGATCTCCACATCAATTTATCTCATCCTTCTCTATTTTCAGAGACGTCGAAGACAAATACTCCGAAAAGGCGGTGCAGTGCTGGATTGCCGCCGGGATGTATCTAGTGACGTTGATTGTGGTGTTCTGGCAGAACCGTTTCAACTCGGTGTCCATTTTCTGAGCCTGTATATTAATGGTGTCCGTTTGCTCTCTTCACTTTGTTCGGCCGCATAATTAGTCACTGAAATTTCTAATAACAGGTATTCGGCTGTAGCTTATTTGATGTAAAATGGAATAAGATATATTAGAATCTTGTCGACACTTCACTTTTCATCACTTTTATTCTCATAACACAACAATCAATTCGAATAAACAAATTTTAACTTAATTTTTGGGGGATTTCAGGCAAAACTCGTTGGAAAAGGCCAATTCTGAGTTCGTGATAGAGGAATATGTCTAGTTTTCGACTTCTTCCACGGTGAGGAGGGATTCCATGTTCTCATTGGCCTTTTTAATGTTTTTCAGAAGGGATCCGATGCGTTTTTGGAGGGTTTCCCATTGGGGTCGGTCAAAGGTGCGATGTTGATAAGCGGTGACCACAAATTCATTGCCCTTCTCGTTGATTTTGCCCTAAAACCATAAATTATAACATTTTAGATATAAATTCACCAGTCTTTTCAATTTAAACTCACATTAACAGCCTTGATTTGAATAGCATTTATCAAAAACTCTTCCAAATCTTCTTCATCCGGGATTTCCAGCTCCTTTCTCAACTGATCCAAGTGTAAAACCAGGCTTTTCTCGGCTAATGAGATCAAAGTCAGCATTTTAATCTTCTTCTCTAGGGCCTTCTCATCCGTTTTCAATTGGGTTTTCACAAAGTCTGGGTTCGCGCTGACAAATTTTTTGTACTCGACAAGCGTTCCAGTTGAGAATAATTGGAGAATCTCATAAATTTTGGGATCCGATTTCTTGAGACTTTGAACGGCGCTCAGGCGGAGTAAATGGTCCAGAGCAAAGGATTTGGGGTCAACAACGGCTGTTCTCACACATTCATGGGCATCTTCTTTGGCTCGGTCCGCATCAACTTCAGTGTAAGTTCGGAGGAGGGTGCACATCACCTAAAATTGGAACAAACAAGTAATTTTCTCTTCAAACCCTCACCTCAGCAGCAGCATCATGTCGGCCATCATTCAACAAAGCCCTATGGAGAACTCTGTACAAATCTCTTTTCGTTTCGACGTCCAAATCCCAAATTTTCACGTACTTCTCCACGGTTTCCAACGACGTATCCGCGAATCGGGTGATCCTGGCGTTTCCAGCGATTTCCAATAGGCATTTGAAGATCGTTACTTGGAGTTTAGGTCGGTCCGTGTACATGTGGAAAAAGTTCGAGAGGATTCGGACAGCAACGCCGGCCTGCAAGTACAATATTATCCATTGTCCTCTTTCACATCCTGTTCTCTCTAAAAACACAAACAAAAGAATCGAAAGTAACATACATGAGAGTTCCATCCTCTTCCAACAAACTCCTTTCCCTTGAAGGTGCGGATCAGATCTTCAACAAACAATTCGGTCTGAGCTGGAGCAAACGTCACGCTCAAGCTGAAGATGGCGTTCAAGATCAATTCCAGCTCCTTGTCGTTGACAGTCGGGGCGACTTTGGCGACGGCCGCCAACAACTCCTTGACGTTATCGAAGAGTTTCGGTGGGCCAGTTGGGTCGATCTTGACGCCTTTTTCCTTGAAGTAGAGACGGAGTTCCACCGAGCTTTCGGTTTCATTCTTCACGGCAAATGAGCCACCGAGCTTCTGGATGCTCATCTAAAGCAATCGGTGAGGAAAATAAGATCAAAAAAAAAATGGTTTTACAAAGCAAATCTCGAAAAATTGGTCATGGATAACAAACTGGTGGGAAAACTCGCTGACTTTTTTCAGTTCGGCCGCTTTATCGTAAAGGTCGAAACTCTCTCGACTCCTCCTCGCTTCAGATTGTCCAGGCGTCGTTCGGCCAGGCGCAGATTATGCTCAACCAGGATGAAATTGGATTTCTCAATATTCTTGGCGTTCTCTTTGAAAATCTGACGAGCCGTTTGCAAAGACGCCTCTGGATCAGCGGTTTGTTGGAGCTGGCGTAAGATACGTTTGTATACAACTAGTACTCGGAGCTGGAGCTTCGAATGGGGCATCAAATCTGACAATTCTTCAACGATAAGCGGCCGAACTTCTCAAAATCAGCGCGAAAACGCCAAAAAAAGGTAAACCAATATGACAGAGCCCAAAAAAATAAACTGTAAATTGATAGAAAACCCAAGAAATCCCATTGGCTTTCTAATCAAGCAATAAAATTACAAAAACATCGAAAAAAATGAAGCACATTACACATGACAAAAGTGACCCAAAACGTCCTTGAAAACCAAAAATAAATAAGATAATCAAGTCGAAATCAACGACTAATCAACAAAAAAACAGTCTAAACCAATCTATTTTCAATATTTTATTCCTAATCTTTCCAATCAACGACCATGTAATTTCTCTTTCCCCAATTCACAAGGGTGTACCGGTTTTTCAAAAGTAATTTCGGGACGTCGATCTTTTCCTCCGGGTCCACAAATTTGACCCCATTCAGCTTGAAAGCGCCTTGTTTGATGAGATTTATGTTGTACTGGGATTTATCGCGGGTTGCTTGAGCCAGTTCTCCGACTGTCCGGACCTCTCGTTTCGACAAAATTTTCTTCGTGGAATTGAAAAGTTGTAGAATTGTATCGTTGTCCAGGTCCTCAAAATCCTTCAGAGATCCTAGAAAAGCAACTCTCAATAAATTCAAGTCGAAAATCGATAAAAAATATATTATACTTGACTTCTGATACCATTTTTCTCAAAATTCCTCTATTCTTACCGTCATACACCACTTTCGAGCACTGAATCGCCTTCTGGAGGTCGTCTATTCCATGTACAAGCAAAACTACTTCTTCCGCTAATGCTTTTTGCAGTACCCTTTGGGATTTACTGCTATTATGATGTGAAATTACTTGTTGGACCTCATCAAATGGTCGTAACGAGAAGAATCTAAAGTACTGTTCCGCAATATCATCATGCAGCTGATAGAAGTGTTGGTAAAGATGGAATGGTGAGGTCTTCATGGAGCTAAGCCAAACGGGATCTCCAGTGACTGTTGAGGATTTCCCGATCTTCTGATTGTTTTTATCCACCAACAAAGGGAGGCAAATTCCAGCGGCCTGTTTACCCAATACATTCTTTATGAAATGAGCGCCGGCATCCAGATGACCAAGTTGATCTGATCCGCCTAACTGAAAATGGGGAAATAGATGCAAATTTACCAAAGCGAAGTTGCATTCAAAATTCGGAAGCCATATATTATCACATAACCTACCTGAAAGAAACAGTCGTATTTCCTCGACAACACTAGCCAATCGTAACTCTGTAGGATTTGATAAGAGAACTCGGTATAAGAAAGGCCACTTTCTTCCATCCGACGTTTGATATGACCCATCCTCATCATATCACCCACTCGAAAACTCTTTCCAAGACGTAGGAATTCAATTGCAGACATCTAAAGATTGAAATAAAAAATAAAAGAGGATCTTACATTGTCAAACCACTCATTGTTATTGAGAATTGTAAGCTGAGCGTTGCTTCCATATGTGTCTTTGGCATTTTCGCCAATCTCGGCAAGCTGTTTTACGAGATTTTTCGCGTTTTCTCGGACTACATCATATGAGAGGAAGTTTCTCTCTGAAATTGACAAATTAGGTATAAGTGGAACATAAATTTATTTTAAAAACCTAGAAAATAGCTAAACAAATCTGCTAGAGGCTAATAGAGAGCATAAGGATAGTGCAATGCAACTAAATATCTACATTTGAAACTCAATCTTTCGCTTTTTCATCACTTTACCTTCACTTTTTCCACTCGGATCCCCAATCAATGCCGTTGAACCGCCGATCAAAGCAATTGCCCGGCAGCCAAATAACGACGACCGAATCAAATTGGAAATAATCAACAAGTTTCCAATGTGCAACGAGTCCGAAGTTGCATCAAATCCGGCGTACAAAGTTGACGGCAGAGCTTTGAGTGTGTTTACAACACCTGCAGATCTAAAATTAGAATTCACAGAAATCCTCAAAAACCTACCCGGTTCCAATATGTTCATCGGAAAGGAATTGGCAACGAGTCCACGTCGGTCCATCTCACGGACATATTGAAGTACACGGAGGTCGCGAAAACGATCCACGTAGGCTCGGACCATATCATCTGAAGTCAAATATGCCAAGAAGATGGTGTAAAATGCAGAAAAAAGCAGAATTTATTTCGCTATTTAGCGTGGATTTCAACTTGCATCATGAAACATATTTTTCACCGGAAAAAATATATTTTCTTTTCCATACAGTAGATCGTCGCGTTTCAAAACGAAAATGCAATCTTTGGCATTTTGTTTTACCCTTTTTTCGTGGAAAATTTTGTAAATTTTTTGTTACTCGCCTGAAATCATGTGTGATCAGGCTGAATCCTGCCCATTTATTCCTACTGACATCCAAAATGAAGTTAAGAATCTTCTCAAGCAGATGCTTGATGTTCTTTCTGGTGATTTTCAAGTAAAACCTGAGGTTGAAGAGATTAACGATGGATTCTACGGAAAACCAAGTCTGGTTGCTGATTACGATTCTGCCTCGTCCTATTCAGAGCCTCCACTTGCCGAGGGTGAGGTGCATTCGATGTTTGCGGAAGGACAAGTGACACTGGAAGATGATTTCTTGACAGAAGACGACATCAAACGAGAAATTGTGAGTATCTTTTTTCACAGCTTTGTTCTTGGTTTAGGGTTGATGAGCAGACGAAATTCTTCCAACTACGTTGGGTATTCAGTTCGATTTGGTGCACAACTTTATTTTAGGCTTCTTTTTTGAGGTGTTTGGATGAATTCGAATTTTCGCGGTGAACTTCTCAACAATCACTTTGGATTTTTTGTAAATAGCTGCCTCAAGATCTCCTCTTCCTTAACGATAGTACTATTTTTACTCTCCTTGCCTAATTTGCCTTTTTTTCAACGGTTTATTTCCAGCGATGTCCACTGAACAACGAACAAGATTCTGACTCGGAAAGTGAGGTTTTCTTTGAAGTGACGTCTCGATGCCGAAGTGTGTACGATCCAGATGACTTGAACTACCAAAGGCCGCAGTTTACTCGGACTTTTGACGACGAATACTATTTTTTACCTGCGCTGGAACAGCTTGTACTTGAAGATAAACCAACAGTCCGGGATTTGAGGCCATTCGGTGTCGTTAGCACTGTTATTGACTTTGTTGGTAAGTTACTTATGATTTTGTTTTTCAATTTTTAGACGATTTATGTCCAATGAGTGAAAGTTTTTATCAAAAAGTGGCAATATTTTCTTTTTCAGTTACGATAAAGCCACTTCCTCACATTCCGGCGCTTGATTATGATTCAGTATTGTTCAACGATAAGTGTGAAGTCATTGGGACAATATTTGAAATCTTTGGGCTTATTGAAGAACCGAATTATGCTATAAGGTTCAATACTGAAGAAGAAGCAAAGAGATACGCTGTTGACACAGAAGTCTTCTACGCTCCTAATTACCTCAAATACACAAAGACTTTCTTCCCTCATGACCTTTCTAAGTAAGTTTGAAGCCTTTTTTTATTACACTTGATTCATTTAAGGAAGTTTGAATTTTGAGATATGGGTTTTCAATTTTTGGATGTGGAGTGTAATATAAATAATTTCTTTTAGGGTTATGTACACAGACGATGGGGACAACACAGAGCCAGAATTCAGCGATGATGACGATGAAAGAGCCCATTCGCAAAAGAAGAGAGCTAAATATCGACAGGCCCCTCAAAATGCTCTCCCGGGATTCAAAAAACCTCGACAAGTCCACTTTGGATACCCAAATCAACCGTATTAGAAGGTTGATGAGTTTAGTTTTTCATTTTCCTGTTGTTGTTACAATTTTACAGTCGATCTGATGTACTTGTTCATTGTTACTCGTTGAAATTGATGTTTACTCCAGTACATTAAATGATGTTTATTAATTTATTAAGGTTTGGACGATACGTTATAATACGTTTTGATACTTTCTTAGGGCACTTGCAAGGGCTCAAAAACACTTTATTGACCCGTAAAACGTGTCTTTTTTTAATGAAATCACAGAAAAAGAAGTGAAATTAATGCCAAATACAAAAAAAAAATCAAAAAAAAAAATTGTAAATTTAGAACGATGTAGATACAGTATTGTGAATTCCGAGCGATAAGTACTTTGTCTTGTTGGTTTTGGATATTATTTCGCAGATTAATCGCAGCATTCCGCCAAACAGCAACCTGAAATGTTGGGTTTTTATGAGGAAAAGGGGTTTCAGGTTAATACGAACATAATAAATAAATAATAAATAGTTTCTTAGCTTAAAAAATATGAAACACTTACCGCAACAGCACGCTAACAATGCATACAAACAACAGTTGTTGTCGTTATTCCTTTGTTGTTGTTGTCGCTCCACGACTCTGAAATTGGGTCAAAATTTGATTATTACGGTTTGAAAGTGAGTTTGATGAACAAATAAATCTCAAAGGATTAAAAATTTTGTTGTTGTTGAAGGGTTTTGTTGAATAGAAACCCTTGAATGAACAAAAAAGTTTTTGATCCTTTGCGATTTTTTGTATAGATCATTGATGATAAAGATGTTCAAGTCACGAAGAGGTCAAAAATGAGATTAAGGGGACTTCAAACTTGTGATCCAAAGGTATCCCGGAGACGTATTTTTCTCCGTGATACCGTTGGATTTCAAGTTTGAGGTTTTCTTAATCGAGTTTTTACCTCTTTGGCGACGGTAACTTATTGGCATCCCGCAATAGCTAGTGTATGGCACTCTCTGACTTACACAACTTGAGGCTGTTGAGGGTATTGTCCAGGATAGCCGGGTTGAGGGTAGCCTCCACCGTATTGAGGTTGAGGCTGAGGGTAGCCATAGTTTTGAGGGGGATAGCCTTGGTTGTATGGTGGCGGGGCAGACATTATTCTCTCTGAAAGGCAAAATGAATAGAATCAATGATAGGAAACTTCAAGTCACGGTAAATTGAGCGATTTCAAAGTAAAATTAGTCATAATTCTACTTTTGTCTCAGTTTTGAAATGAATATGATAGTTCTAGGTACAATGCAGTTGATTCATAGCAAAAAGTTAGTTGCTATTCCGTTAGGTTAACGATGAACACGGTGATGACTAAAACATTCCAAGAATTTCAAACTGTTCACTTCCCAGTTTAGCTAGCTTCGCCCCAGACAATAGAAGTTAAATGCAAAGAGAAATGATAAGGTCTGAACCGGAATCAGAAACGTTATTTCATTCCTTCCCGAAAAAATCACAAAATGGTAGGCATTTTGTGTATCATTTGGATGACTCAAGAATCATGGACGATAAGCTTTCCGAAAAGGCCTGTTAATTGGTCTCCAGGAGACTTTGCATCCCCTTTCGAAATTGTTGGCCCGGGAAACCCAACAGAAACATGCCGGTTTTGTTTGACAAGACATTTTATATGCGTTCCACAAATATGAATTGTGGAACGGGGAAAAAGAATTGTAATCTAACGAGGGAATGGTCTGAACTTCCCCCGGCGTTTGGGAAAATGACTAGTACAGGTGGATAGAGCAGGTCAACTTTGGTAAAAAGAGCCATTTTCCAGCTGCGGAATAAGCCCGGCCGACGAGAAAAATCGACCGAAAGTTCCGCAAAAATTTCCGCTTCCTCTTCCCTCGGAAAAGAAGAGCGGTGTCCAGTGGTTCGGTTAGCCGAGTGGATAAAGCATCCGCTCGATATTCTTTTGGGGGTTGGTTCGATTCCGGGGCAGAGCGAGTGGCTATGATAAGGCTTTGGTGGCCAAGATCAGACACTTGTGATCCAAAAAAAAAACTGTTTTGCTATTTTTAAGACCTTCTAGAGGGAGTATGACTTTTAACGTTCTGGAATCTTCCAGAAAAAACTCACTAGAATTTACATGAAAATCGTTTATTATTATGTTTTATGATCTCTAGAGGGTCCTAAACTAGCAAAATAATTTTTTCGATCATAAGTGTCTGATCTTGGCAAACTTATAAAAAAGGAAAAAAAAATTTTGGGTTAGAGTTTGATCTTGGCAGCCTTATCACAGCCACTCGCTTTGCCCGGAATCGAACCAACCCCCAAAAGAATATCGAGCGGATGCTTTATCCACTCGGCCAACCGAACCACTGGACACCGCTCTTCTTTTCCGAGGGAAGAGAAAGAGAAATTTTTGTGGAACTTTCGGTCGATTTTTCTCGTCGGCCGGGCTTATTCCGCAGCTGGAAAATGGCTCTTTTTACCAAAGTTGACATGCTCTATCCACCTGTACTAGTCATTTTCCCAAACGCCGGGGGAAGTTCAGACCATTCCCTCGTAAGGACAGATTGGGTTTGAGGAAAGGGGTCAAATGATAGGGGGTGAATAAATCATAGGATAGTGTCGGTCTGCCGGGAAAATGACAAGGATTTGTCGCAGCATAATGTCTCGCTTTGTCGCGGTAGCGCACCAAACCTCCAGACAGCCGTCACAAAGCGATGATGGGCGATTCCCAGGCGCGACGAGTCCACATTATTTTCTCGACAGACAGATATCAGTCTGTCGGGAAAATAACGTCGCGCCTCGGCATCGCTCATCATCGCTTTGCGATGGCAACTGGAAATTTGGTGCGCGATTTTGAACCCTTTTTTCGACGAGGAAAAAAATTTTGCTGCGACGACCGGCCACTATTTTACCGACCGACTGATAATAGGTTGTTTTAGAATAAGAAAAACCAGGAAAAGTTAGGCAGAAAAATAAGTGGAGAATGAGATACCCGAATTATATATACAGTGATCAAAGAGCTGCGTTAATAATTTGACAGAACATTGCAAAAAGAAAAAATTAGAACTCCCAAAAAGCCCACTCAAATTCCCCGAGAGAATGCGCAGAATATCACCAGCTAACATTAAAATACCCCCATCGAACTTCGACCACGCAGGTGCAAAGCTTTTCCTGAACATGACTAACAACATTACGAAAACATATGACGAAAAGTAAACCCCAAGACGGCGCTCAAATCGACGTCATGCAACCGGGGTTTGTGAAAGACCAGGGCTGACTCATGAGCGCATCGAAAGGGTGAGGTAAAAGAGGAACGAAAAAACTTTGGGATCATAAAACGGAATGCATTTTCACAGCAAATAACGCGGCAATAATTGAAGGTTGAAAAGTGGGTTTATAGAGAGAGTAGGCATTTTTTTGTGGAACATTCGGCTTCTAGGTAAGGAATAATGTCTGGCTAAATATCATAGAAAACGAGATTTGTCGTAGAAATATAGATAAGAGCCAAAAAACAAAGAAATTCTAAAAGTTTCCGCAAAACACGAGATTTAGTGCAATAACAGCCACATTTTTTTACCCAGCGTTTCCATGGCAGTTGCACTTTTGTCATATATTTTTCAATTTTTGCATGAATACATATTTGGCAGGGGACGCTTCTTTTCCGGATCAATGAAAGGTTTGAATAGACCTCTCGAATCGAGAGAGGATTATGAGTCAGACATCACAGGATGCTCCTAATAAAACTGTAGTTTAACAAAGTTAAAATTATTTATAAATGACGCAAGCGATACTTCAGATATAATATTTATAGCATTTGCAAAATTAATGTTTAAAAATTTGTCTTCTAATAATTTGGTTCGTTGGGATTTTTCGAAAAACGTAGAAACCCCGAGAAACCGAATTTTATAAAAACGGCATGCGTTTTAAAATATCTCGTGGGCCGTTGCGTACTATTATTGGCAGGGAATCGTAATTAGATTTATTAGCGCTATTATTAAAAACCCTAAGGAAATTACGGAATATGAGCTGTCATAATCAGCAATGTTTGTCGCAGAGAAAGTATAAAAATGAGGGGAGATTGTCGGAGATAAAAAAAAAGTGTCTAGGGTTGATTTTGAGTTGGCTGTGTATGTGCAAGCACAAACTCTAGCCAAAAGCTATCCTTTGTGAATGACTTGGGTCAATTTCCATAGGATTGACCCTCAAGACGGCAGAAGGGCCCGTCTGCTAATGAAACCCGATCTGCCGCTAATTGGAAGAAATTTGATCATAAAGAATTTACTGATTGTTGATCATTTTTTTGCTCCATTTCGGAAAAGTGTCTCCAAAAAAGACGCGGATTGCAATCATTCTTATTGCTAGACCACAAAAAGATCACGCTTCTGTTTCAAACATTGCTTTTTTGACGAAGAAAAAGGCTAGTAAATCGGAGTTATGAGTATCCCTTCCTTTTATACGAAATGCCATATAAAATACGCAGATCACACGACTTATAAATTCCACAGAATTCCCAAAATCCCTCGCATAAAAGCAATCCCTTTTGTATTGTGATTTTTTGCTTAAAAATCGCGAGACAGCCGCAGGATGGGGCGAAAAGTAATGGAAAAGGGCGAAGTGGTCGGACGAAGATTTCATGTTTGTCTGTCTCCCCACTTGACAACCCAACCCTACCGAAATTGGGTTGAGAGATGATAGAGTAATTTGGGGATAATTAAAGGTGAAATTGAAGCAGCGGCGTCTGAATGGTGATAAAAATTGAATGAATGTTGGAGATTTTGTGAAAAGCCGGAATGAAAAAAATGCAAACAAATGTGAGTCATAGGAGTGTTGTGGAACGATTGTGAGCGATGCAGTGGGAAGAGAGAGGGCTTTTGATTGTACGGGGGGAAATTTGAAAAGCAAACTATCAAGTCGTTTCAACGCCGAGTCTGGCGTTGAAGGGGAGGGTAATGATTAAACATGAAAAAAAATGAAAAGCGATTCATTGCAGAATCCTCTAAAAATGTCTTCAATTTGGTCTTGGTGGAGTGGTAGTCCTATAAGCAAAATTTGACGAAACTTTTACGTTAAAGAAGCCGCAGACGTTAATCCAGACTATTAAATTTCAAAGCATGTTAGAACAACAATTTTATTGTTCTCAAAATTAATTCCGCTGGCTACTATAGGATAGGAAACTACAACAAACAATACCGATCGAGAGAACCTCCCGCGACAACGCACAAAGACAAGTAAACAGACGTGAGAAACCGGAAACACTACGGGTTTAGATGTCTATCTTTGAGGGAAAATACTCTAGCAAGAAGGGAAGAAACAAAAACATATATTCTCGGTAAAGTATTACTATACTTTTATCTGAATAAGGACTTATCTTGAGTCCTAATTCCGAATAAGTCTAGTAAAGTTTAACTAAGTCCGTACATAGTATAAAAGCCAAGAACATTGCTTTTATTATGTAGACACGTGTTTTCCGGATATTTTTAAGTGGATTACTGTTAAAAATTGCATGCGGATTATGAACTATGACATTCTTAGTTATGCTAATCGTTTGTTGCTATAAATTTGCGACATCATTACCGTAGCTCTGCGAAATTTTATGATCTCCGGGTTAGCTTACCAACGGTAATTTTTGACTTCTTCATTTTGGAAAACACACTACAAAAAGGTTGCTCGATGAGAAATTAGGCATTTTAAGAGCAAACAAAAAACACTGACAAGGGAAGTACCCCAAGTGCGACGCTCAGATTTTCTTTAAATTTTGCACACACGTCGGGAATAGACTAAATATCAATTCCTGAAAGTTTTAGCTCGCGCTTTGCGGGCGCCGCCGAGATATCGGACGATTTATGCCGCCGAGAGAGCACGCTAAACGTGGAGAGCGGTCAGAGAGAAAAGCGCTTTTTGGCTATAATTTTGGCAGTTTCGCGCGGAAAAATTTGATTTTTTGTAGAAACATTATCCTTTACGGTAGAAATAGGCATGCAACTTTTCGTGCCGAAATTCGGCAAAAAGTCCTAAATTTTCGCCGACTTTCGATCTAAAAATCTCGGTTGTTACTGCAAAGCGCGAGCTAGGATTCTCGCATATATCTTAGAAAAAATTATTCTAAATTTGTGCCAAGTTTCATCAAAATCTAAGCGTCGCACTTGGGGTACTTCCCCTGTGAGTGCAAGTTGTAGCCAATGAATACTGCAAAAGAGAGTTCATTTGAACGGGGAAAGCGATATTTTTGGTTGTCTGTAGGGAAAATAATGCGGATTTGTCGTAGTAAAAAGTCGAGTCTCGTCTCCAGCCAAGTCGCGTCGTCGCAAAGCGGTGATGGGTGGTTCCAAGACGCCACAAACCCATATTATTTTCCCGACAGAATGGTACTTGACGCTATTTTTTCGGTCTTGCCCTAAAAACATCGCGCCAAGTTTTAAGTAATTATAGGATATCATATCGCGATATATCGTTCTGGTTTCTGGAAATGCGGTAAAAAAGAAATTTTTTCCAGCTAGGCCATTCTGCATTACGCGTATTCTGTCGCCGAAGCAAAGATCGTCGAATGATCTGCAAAGAGCGAGCTGAATACCTCAAGAAAGTAACGTTTGATTAGAATAAAGACATCTTTATTGTAATACATAGACCGGTCTGTTAAGATATTTATTCTCCTTCACAAACGTACAATGATACACAGTCACCAACCCCTTTTCCCTCACCATCACAGCCATATGTTATTATTAGTCTGTCGGGAAAATAATGAGCACAATGTAACGCTGATTGCGCCGCTGGATTGAAAAGTAATTTGATTTTGCCGCGATACAATTCACGTTCTCGACGGCGATGCGACGTGCTCATTATTTCCCGGACAGACTTACTGCCGAGTCAGTGCAAAGGGTGGTCATCTTGACTACTCGTTAACGTGCTTGGTCTGGTAGCACTATAGGAGCGCACGTCTTTGGGCATGATTTTCTTGCCTATCTGCAGTAGGGAAGTCTTAATGCTCTTGTTGAATGTAATGTAGACAAATGGAGGGAGGGCTGGAAAAGTTTAAACTACTATAGGACCACTATTGCTTTACCTGTCGACAAGATGTACGTAAAAGTCGCTGCCAAGCAGCCGTAGAATCCGACAGGAACAAATTGCTCCAGCACGTACGAAAAGCTGGCTGTAAAATGGAAGAAACCAATTGTAAGCACTTGAATGTAGGTCTAAACACAGTTGTTTTGCATTTTGATTAATAAGAAACCCTCACGTTCTTATCCCTGATCGTCTTCCTCACTGCTCCGCTGACCCGTCTCACATACAGCATGATGAAAATGGCATATGTCGTTGTGTGCGAGACACAAACAAACATGTTGTGGTAGGTGTGCCATTCACTGGCGTACTGAAAAAAACTCGTGTTTGACAACGCTAGAGCTTGGGGCTTACGGTTTGTTCCGTGTCCACGAAGTACGCGTTATGCGGATTGAAGAACATGGACATCATGACCCCGTCAAAAACAGGAGCAATACCAAACAGTGGGACTCCCAACATGTAAAGAAGGACCAGAATTATCCAAAAGTAGTTCATTTTTCCGCTGAAGAATTTGTCGGCCATGTAACGACTGTGCAGTTCGCAGCATCGGTTGATGGACAGAATTAGCGTCGTTATGGTACTTCCGAACCAGGCGGCTAAAGAGTTGTAAGCAATGTGTATAGAGAAATAAATCAGAGAGGTCAGAATGGCAGTCTGTCGGGAAAATAATGTTGATTTGTCGCGCCTTGGAAACGCTCATCACCGCTTTACGGCGGCTAGTTGTGGCTGAGGATTTGGTGAGCCATGCGATCAGGTTAGACATTTTGCTGTGACAAATCCACCTTATTTTCCCGACAGATTGATAATTCGACTTGTAAAGCGATATATGATAAAAGATTGAAGGGGATCGAAGCTTCATATATGATATAGCCAAACTCACACAAACACACAAGACCATGGATATACAGCAGAGTCGATGACGAGCAGAAAACGGCTCCCGAGATGCTCAAGACTCCAAAAATTAACGAGTTCGCAGTGAGATCAACAATGTCGATTATTCCCAGCAAAATCATCAGCTGATAGCTGGACCTTTTTCGCAGCCCTGTCGTGCACATGATCGTAACGCATGGTATGTAGAGTGACTGAAAAAGAGAGGGTATTGTGAGATAAGACAATTGGGGAAGATATGCGGGATGTTTACGGTAGGGCTTGCACTCACCACGCTGACAAAGTAGATCGCCAAAATGAGCGTGCCAAGTAGCGGGTGTTGCCTCTTTTGGATGGGAATGGAATCGATATCGTAGAAGCTGCAGTTGTAATGAAGGTTGTAGGTGGCTTCATCAAACAAGAATGGGTCCAAAGGAATTGGCATTCTGAAAAAGCTCAGCATGTCGAAAAAATGTGGCGCAATCCTGATAAGTCAACTCAAGAGAGGAGCCCTGGCTTATATACGATACAAACCTCGTGTAAGCTTTAGGCCAAAAGTCACGTAGAGTCTGGGGAAACGCACCCCTTTCTTAGGGGGATTAACTTAAGTGTTGCCAAACAAGTAAGATATTGCGAAAACCTTGCAGAAGTACTAAATTACTCATAGCACGGTGATTGGGAGGGTCGAGAATAACAAGAAATGTCTACTCATACGGGGAAAGTACGACGCACGTCAAACTGCGATAAGCCAAAATGGTTCGGTGAACGGATTGGCAATTCGCCGGGAAGGGTTTGGAGACATTTTGGTCGCTTCCGGGATGCAAAATGAGACTTTTTTTGCCATTGGATCAGGTCCCTCACTGTATTGGTCATTTTCCCAAACTCTGGGGGGATTGTAGCCCATTCCTTGTACGGTAAAAAATCCCTTGAAGAAAAATGTTTTCCTGCTTTCAAAGGGCTCTGCCAAGGCCTCCGCCGAACAAAATTCAAAGCTTTCTGGCTGGTCAAATATAGCGTGAGCTGAACAATAATAGTATCTGAAAGAAATTTCACGTGTACGCTAGCAATAACGCAAATAACAAAACCAGCGAAAAAAGTGTCGCAATGTTTGAGACACGCTCTACATAGCATAAATAAACAAGAGTAATCATGTATACTGTGTGTAACATTGTAGACGGAGTTGTCGCAAGAAGAGCGAGAGAGGTCTACAAACCCGCATAAGGAGTCTATTTATATTTAAATTAAAGATCTAATGGCCCCACGTAAAAGATAAAAATTACTTCCGATAGTCACCATGCGATTAGAATTTTGACAAACAAAAAGACAAGCTGTGTGCTTAGGTAAACAACTATATAGTAATATTACAATTACGTAGTGTTACGATAAAAATGTAACACATTAGTAATCCCTAAGGCCATTTTATTGAAATTGTAAGCAGTTCAAGACCGGAAGAACTTGTTTTTGTTATCATAAAAACGCAATGAAAATTGTAAAAGCTTGTTCTAACTTTATATACAAAATTGTTGTTGAGACATATAGTTTCCGGGAACAGGTCCCCGAATTGTAGCTTCAATTCACACCCACGATAACGCGAAAAACAGAAATATGGTAGCTGAACAGACATGCTCCAAAAACATGGTTCAAGAAGGTACCGACAAAATCTAATTTTATCCCCAAAGTTGGCAAAGGCGTTGTCAGCAACGTACTTTTTGTCTGATTGCTCTTGTTGTTTTCTGCACTTCGAACTTGTCACAGCATTCGTAATTGGTTTTTCCGACCTCCGGTGTCCAAAAACCCAATTAAACCCTTGCCAGTACGATATCCTGAAAGGCTGGCATTTTTTAAAGTGCAAATGAGTGAAAAAAAAGAAAGCAAAATAGCCAAAAACGTAATTTTTTATTACATACAAAAATACAGGCAAAATGGAAACAATTGATGACATTTGAAGAAATATTTGATTTTTTTGTGCATACAGTAAGATTTTGATTCCATTTCGAGGCCATTATGAACGGAACAAATAAAGAAATAAATAGAATCGAACGACCGGTAACGGAGAAGCTCAAAAAATAAATAAAAGGCTAAAAAATAAAAATCACTAAATAAAGTTTGATTATGCAAATTTAGAGCCTCCAATTTTTTACTTTTCTTTATCAACCGCTCATTCGATGATCATCCAAGATGACCGCGCGGACGTTTCTATGGGCCGTTCTCCTGCACGGTGTTGCCGTCCAGGCCCTTCATCATCATGACGCGTTACGAGCGAAGCTGGATTTGATGACAAAAAATATGAATACGACAGCTGATCCTTGCAATGATTTCTTCACCTATGCTGTCGGAAATTTTAACGCTAGTCAACTTTATTGGGATACTCTTGCCGCCAGAAGACGTCTGCTCGAATCAAGCATTGGAGATGAGGTATTACGAGTCCGACTAACAGGGGAAGTACCCCAAGTGCGACGCTCAGATTTTCTTTAAAAGACGATTTTTGGCTCGCTGCGTCAGCCGGGGACATTCAAAAAAATTTTTTTTGAGTTTTTTTGCCTAAAATGTTGGTATGGGTCACTAAAACACATTCCCAAAATTTTTTTGCCCAGTGATGCCCGGAAGGTAGAAATTTGTATATGGTTATAACCGTTCTTCTGAGCTCTGCTGTTGCCGTCGCAATAAAGACAACTTGACGAAACCGACTCCACATAGGTTTTGGTGGACGGCGAATACAAAAATCGCAATTTCAAGTTAGTAGGATTACTGTAACATACAGTTTTTGACCTTCGGTCGATAAAAATCGACCGTATCTCCTTCAAATCAAAAATCCCACAAGATTTTATTGCAGATTTGGAATCAGCGTAAAATTCTGGTCTAGGAACATGTAATTTGCATCCTTGATTCCGTGGCAGATAAATCATGGCGCAGTGGGTTTTGACGAAAACTAGTAATCTGACGACCCTGGTTCGATCCCCGCTGGAGACAAATATTGTAAAAAATGTGGAAATGACATTTAATGGAATTATGAGGGTTATATGAGCAACGTTGAGTATTTTTAGACATCAACGGAACATGAATTTGAGGCTAGACCAGGGTTTATATTATTTTAGTCTCGGGATCCGTGAAAAATAAAACTGCTTCAAACGGGCTGAAATTGATAACACCTTTTCTAGGCCTAATTCTAAGAAACTTTTACGTTAACTTTTTTTTGTTAGATTACTGTATCGTGGATTACGGTAACATAAAACCCAATTTTGTTTTTTCATACCATAAGGCGCAGAGCCATCGGAATATCACGAAGATTGTAGGAATGGTTAAGAACGAGTGGGTTTGCGCATTAATAGTTCGTTTATGGCCGTATGTTTTGAAATACCTGAATTATCTAACACAATATCACCAATGGATGATGAGATTAATTCAGACTGAAAATGAGTTCGAATTGCATTTTAAATATGAGGCATGCCGGCTTTCTGCCGTTTGAATAATATAGCCAAAAAAAATTTAATTTTATGCGGAAATTTTGAAGAAATCGCCTTTAAGGAGGCCGAGCTTTTTGTTACCGTAATCCACGATACAGTAATCCAACAAAAAAAAGTTAACGTAAAAGTTTCTTAGAATTAGGCCTAGAATAGGTGTTATCAATTTCAGCCCGTTTGAAGCAGTTTTATTTTTCACGGATTCCGAGACTAAAATAATATAAACCCTGTTCTAACCTCAAATCCATGTTCCATTGATGTCTAAAAATACTTAGCGTTGCTTATACAACCCTCATAATTCCATTAAATGTCATTTCCACATTTTTTACAATATTTGTCTCCAGCGGGGATCGAACCAGGGTCGTCAGATTACTAGTTTTCGTCAAAACCCACTGCGCCATGATTTATCTGCCACGGAATCAAGGATGCAAATTACATGTTCCTAGACCAGAATTTTACGCTGATTCCAAATCTGCAATAAAATCTTGTGGGATTTTTGATTTGAAGGAGATACGGTCGATTTTTATCGACCGAAGGTCAAAAACTTTATGTTACAGTAATCCTACTAACTTGAAATTGCGATTTTTGAATTCGCCATCCACCAAAACCTATATGGTGTCGGTTTCGTCAAGTCGTCTTTATTGCGACGGCAACAGCAGAGCTCAGAAGAACGGTTATAACCATATACAAATTTCTACCTTCCGGGCATCACTGGGCAAAAAAATTTTGGGAATGTGTTTTAGTGACCCATACCAACATTTTAGGCCAAAAAACTCAAAAAAAATTTTTTTGAATGTCCGGCCCCTCGTATTGGCTGACGCAGCGAGCCAAAAATCGTCTTTTAATGTGAATATCTCGGCTGAGCCGGCAAAGCGCGAGCTAAAACTTTTAGGAATTGATACTTAAGGGGAAGTACTCCAAGTGCGACGCTCAGATTCTCTTTAACTTTTGCACACACGTCGGGTATGGACTAAATATCAATTCCTGAAAGCTTTAGCTCGCGCTTTGCAGGCGCCGCCGAGATATCGAACGATTTTTGCCGCCGAGAGAGCACGCTAAACGTGGAGAGCGGTCAGAGAGAAAAACGCTTTTTGGCCATAACTTTGGCAGTTTCGTGCGGAAAATTATGATTTTTTTGTAGAAACATTATCCTTTACGGTAGAAATAGGCATGAAACTTTTCGTGCCGAAATTCGACAAAAAGTCCAAAATTTTCGCCGACTTTCAATCTAAAAATCTCGGTTGTTACTGAAAAGCGCGAGCCAGGATGCTCGCATATACCTTGGAAAAAATTATTCTAAATTTGTGCCAAGTTTCATCAAAATCTGAGCGTCGCACTTGGGGTACTTCCCCTGTAAGCCCTTTTGGACCTTGGTTTACTTGTTTTTTTATTCCATACGGTAATCTTTTTCAATTTCAGATCCCAAGCGTCAAGCAAATTAAGCCGTTGCTCGCGGCCTGCAAGAAGAATCCCGCCATGATGGATGACCCGAACAGTACAGATACATTCCGTTGGATTGTGGACAGTTTCAAATCGAGAGGGTTTACTTTCCCAATGAAGAACGAAGTTCTCGCCAATGATGACGGCCTTTTTACCAACCTGGTCTTGGAAATGTACGTTTATCTGTTGGAAACGGGAGCCCCATTTTTTGATGAATGGGGTTACGCTGCTTCTGGAGGGAAATTGACTCTGAATATTACACCAAAGGTCAACCAAGAAGAAGCCTGGTAAGTTATTTGTGCACCATATGTACGTATCAGTATGTCGGGAAAATATGTGGATTAATCGAGCCTTGAAATCGCCCATCATCGCTTTGCAAGTTCTGGCTGGAAATCTGTTGCCAGGTTGAGAATGACGAGGAATTTCGCTGCTACAAAACTCGACATTATTTTCCCGACAGACTGGTGTACAAGTCGCCACCTAATGTATGTAGGTGGCGACTTGTTAATACTGTGGATCGGAGTTGATTGAAAATATATCACAATCTTCAGGAAGAAGTACTGCAATGTCATCAAAGGATGTGCTGATCTGGCCTACGACCGCAATTACATGCCACAAGGTTACGTACAGGCAGATCATTTAAAAGGCCGCTTCTTCGACAGAATGATGGGATTAAACGAGACCTTCCCGGGTATTGCTTTCTATGTTCCGCAAGTTTTTGGAAAAGATGTAAGTTTTTGGGTTAAGCGCTTAAACCACGCTTAAAATTGAAGATATTCAAACTTCTTTGGACACCTTTCGGGTTTCCCTTTCTTCCTGAAACCTACGAAAAAAAGAAGAACTATAAACGATGACTTTTTTCAGCCCAGCCAGTCTGCTAATCGTGCCAACTTTCTGAATCATCTAATGGAGTATCTAACCGATCAAATTCACCGCCCGAAAAAGTTTTACCAGTGTGAAGATTACATTTTCGAGGCGCTTCCCCTTCATACTTCCAAAATTGCCTACGAACTGGAGATGACAAACAAGACGGCATTTGCTGAGCTGAAAGCAAAATTCACAGAAAAAGCAGAAGCGGTTAAGAAAACGGCTGAACGTATGCTCCGGAACGCAAACTTCACGCAGGAGCAGACCCGACAGAACTATCTGGACAGATTGGCGAAGAACGAGTTCCCGTTTCTGGATCATCCAATCCTTTTTGGAAAAGAGCTGGCTGCAGTGGACCATATGTATTTGCATGCACCGTATATGAGGAGATTTATGAATGGAATCACCCACGTTTTCATGTTCAACGCCCAGAAGGAGCTGAAGAATTTTGTCGTCCCAGAGTACAAGGTAACAGAAAGTGAACATTTGGGGAATGCGTTTTCTGACCTATTCCAACAGCGTACTTTTTTAAGTTACGTCCTTGAATTGACACTCTTTTTTAGCTAATATTTTTTTTGAGGATTTGTTAAAGTCTACAAAAATACAGCTATTTTTCCTACCTTACCCCAAGTACCCCAAGTGCGACGCTCAGATTTTCTTTAAATTTTGCACACTTGTCGGCCATGAACATCAATTCCTGAAAGTTTTAGCTCGCGCTTTGCAAGTGCCGCCGAGATATTGAACCATCCTTGCCGCCGAGAGAGCACGCGAAACGCGGAGAGCGTTCAGAGAGAAAAACGTTTTTTGGCCATAACTTTGCCACTTTCGTACGGAAGAGATTGATTTTTTGTGGAAGCATTGCCCTCTATGGTAGAAATAGGCACGAAACTTTTTGTGCCGAAATTCGGAAAAAAGTGTCAACGTTTCGCCGACTTTCGATCTAAAAATCTCGGTTGCTTCCGCGAAGCGCGAGCTAGGATTCTCGCATATATTTTAGAAAAAATTATTTTAAATTTGTGCCAAGTTTCCTCAAAATCTGAGAGTCGCACTTAGGGTACTTCCCCTGTAAGATAGGATAGTAATTTTTTCTATTTTTTCATGAATAAAATTTTGATATTTTATTTTCAGTCTGATGCTATCCATAAACGCGAGAACCAGCACAATTACATTCACTGGAAATTTGTTGAATTTCCATACTTCGATGTTGAGTTTCCCGCGCTTCTCGATTCCTCCGGTACAGGGTTTTGGATGTCCCAGTCATTAGCGCATACCTTCGGCAAGTGATAAAATTCAGCTTTGAAATAATTTCCCGTTTTTTTAGATGATTTGCTGGAAGCTCATGAGGACCCGGAAAAGGAGCATCGTGCTCGGTGGGACTGTATCGCAATGCTCTATAGTGGGCAATGTGATCCACAAAGACCGGACGTCTGTTTGAATACCACAAAAACCGCCGGCGAGGCACTTGCGGACCAAGTTGGTGAGTGTTAGCAGCGTTATGGCAGTACAACATAGATAAAAATTCCTGGGGCGGTTATACAAAGGGATGTGCACGAAGCCGGCAGGCGTTAGCGACGGAAAAAGGGGAATTTTTTGTTTCGAGATTAAGCCTCAGAACGAGTCGCCCACACGTCTTAGACTGACCCTAATGTCATTTTAGGTGTTCGTCTGGCCTATTTTTCCCACTTCGCCCCTGGCAATAATATCTCGGAGCCCCGAATAAGCGAACAGTTCTCCAACGAACAACTTTTTTTCATCAACATAGCCAATACACTTGCGTGGTCGTACAGTTGGAAAGACTACAATCCAACGACATCCGTACATATGCCTAATCGAGCTCGTGTTTGGGGAGCCCTTGCCAACTTTAAAGGATTTGCCGAGGCTTTCAATTGCCCTGTTGGCTCGAGATATCACGTTCCAGTGGACCAAGCATGCAATATCTTTGACTTTGACATCGTCACGACTACCACGAAGACCACGACGGCTGCGACCACAACGGTTACCATAGCTACTACAACGACTACTGAAGTTACAACGACGGCTGCAACAACGGCTGCACCAACTACTCCCGCAGCAACTACTGCAATGGCCACAGAAATTACGACGACGGCTGCTACAACGACTGCACCAACTACCACTGCCACCACTACAGGAACTACTGCAAGAGCAACTACAACAATGACCGCAGCAAAAACTACAACTAGCACTGAAGCGCAGCACGAACCAGTTGTAACTGACGGAACTCCTCATGCCAGTACCAATACTCCACCGGCCCCTGGACCAACCAAATCAACTCCAAACCCACATACGGCTACTAAGCAATCTACACCAGGAACTACTCCGTCTATGCCAAGAACTACTCCTCCTATGCCAAGAACTACCCCTTCTAAGCCAACAACTACTCCCTCTCAGCCCACCAGAAGTACTCCCCTTAAGCCAAAAACCACTCCCTCTCCGCCTTCACCGGTACCCGACTATAACTCCGAAGAATATGGAGAAGTTGCTCCCAAAAAGTCGATTCTATTGTCGCCGCCCTATGTCTTTTATCCCATTTTGGCATTTGCCCATATGATGTTCCAATAAACATAAATTTAGTTTTAGTTTACTCGGTTAAGGAAATTCAGGGCACCAAAAATTTATTCGAAATTTTTAAACCCCAATTTGAAAGCATAGGCAACGAAGTGGTACGGCAACCCGAAATAGAAGAAAAATGTTTCCCGCCCACTTTTGAATTTCGTCCAAACGAAGTGTCAAAATTGAGAAAAGAAGTAAAATAAAAGCCGAGAAAAATATTTTTCGGTCGGAAAAAATCCGAGAAATTCTTTTGTGACATTTGGTTTGATCTCAACCGATACAAAATGGGCCAACTGTCGAAAGTTGCCAGGAAACACTTCGGGTTGCCGTGCCTGGTGGTTTGTAAAGTCGCTGGCGTGATTCTTGACGTCTGCACTGTGCAGAAAAAATCAGGGTGCGAGCGACAGCGCAAAAAAGCAAGAAATTGCACAGTCCAAAGAAAACTTTTGTTCTCGCGCAATGCATGTCGCCGATTTCAGTCCATCGGCTTTCCGGAAGGACTAATACAGTGGGGGACCTGATCCAGCACAGTGCCTGTCTCGAAAATCACTCCACCAACGTTGAGAACGGACTTGTAACCAGTAATGCTGTGCTTCGGACATTTTTCTCGGATTAAGCCATGCGGATGGCAACTCAATTCTTACGGTCTTCCCAATGTCCTTTGTGCATCATGAGGAAGTGAATTTGTGGTGAAAACCCCATATTGGGTTCGGTCTGAATTTTGTCCTCTTACTATCACGTACAACGCGTTGTAATGTCTCCAAATTTTTGAACTCTTATCGCACGTCACTGTTTCTTTCACCCTAAGCTTTGTTTTTTCGGCCACCACACATTTCGAATTTGACGAACTTTAAAATCAAGAGATTCTACCTTGTGTTGATTGAGTGATCGTTAGGAATTATGGGGTGTCACCCGTTCTTTTATGATTGATTGTGGAAATGGTCTGGTTGCAGGCGAGACGGTGGGTTCCTCAGTTTTAATATGAGAATTGAGAAATTTGTAGCAGGTAAAAGTCTTACAAGGAAGTTTCGGCAGGGCGTCGCGACCTTTGCGGGCAACCACTTCGTGGGCAGCCAACATTTGCAGATTAGAATTACGATTTTTCTACCGTAATCTACGTAGTATAATAGAAATTTTGCATTGACAACTTTTTTGGTATCGATAAGCGCACGAATCTATTGAATTCGTCCACCGCTTTTGAATTTATGGAGGTTTGTTTCCAGAAAATGTTTTCTGAACCTTTAAAAATGCCTGGTTAACCTTGTGGTAGCTATTCAAGTCACTGATACTCCTGTTCTAAACAAATGTTGGCTGATTTTCAAACATTGCCACAGAATCGTCGTGATTCTTTTAACTGCCCGCAAAGTGGTTGTCCACAAGTGTTGGCCCGCCTCGGCGGTGTTTGGGAAGCTAGAGTTATCGGTCCTGCCAATGCCCTAGAAAATTATGCATGAAATTTTTACAATGAATCTCTATGGCCTCGCTACTATCAGTCTGTGGGGAAAATGATGCGGGCTTTGTCATAAGTTATATTTAAGTATGCATGTAAAAATTTTCCTGTGGTCACTCAAACAAAGCCATGATAAAAAGTGCAATTGCACACCAGAATTTTCGCGAAACCCAAACCGCGTTCTTTGCAAGTTCACCTTTTCATGTGATCAGTTACACTCTTAACTTCGTTTTTATTTACGGACGACCAAGGTTATTATTATTGCGGCATGCTGCAGTTTCATAAACAGCGGTTCAAATAGACTTTTTTGGGTGGAGCTTGAAATATTTTGTCGTTATGTCGTTCAAGTTGTGGCTTCTGTGACTCTTTATCAAGTTTTTTTTATTCTGCTAATCTGTAAGTTAAGATTTAGATGGAGAACGAAGCAATTATTGGATTCACGAAACGCTCAACGCCATGGCGAAGCATCGCGGTTATGGCGGGCTTGGAATTTGGCTATGGATTTCAACTGGCGCTTTATTTGGCTCCCATCTGGCCGTATTTACAAGTTGTACGAAAAGTTTCTTTCTTATTGTTAGAATGGGAAGTACCCCAAGTGCGACGCTCAGGTTTTCTTTCAATTTTACACAACGTCAGGCATATACTACATATCAATCGCTGAAGGTTTTAGATTGCGCTTTTCTGGTGGAGCCGGGATATTGAACAACCCTTGACGCCGAGAGAGTACGCGAGATGCGGAGAGCGTCACAGGGAAAAACACCTTTTGGGGAAAGCTTTGCTAGCTTCGTGCGGAAAAAAACTATTTTTTTGCCGAAAAAATTACTTACTATCTACGGCAGAAATAGACATGAAAATTTTTGCCAAAAAATTGACAAAAACAGTCACCTTTTTGCCAACTTTCAATCTTAAAATGTTGACCGTTTTTGCAAAGCGCGAGCCAGGAGTCTCGCATTTGTTGAAAAAAATTATTCTAAATTTGTGCCAAGTTTCACCAAAACCTGAGCGTTGCACTAGCGCTACTTCCGCAATAACAATAAGCCAAATTACGACGGCCGATTTCTTACACACAATATCTTTCCAGATCGACAAATCAGCTTCAGACCGCTTCTACGGCCTGATTGTTATGGCCAACGCGCTGGGCCAGCTGATCGCCTGTCCTCTCTTCGGATTTTGGAGCCGACGAGTTTCGACGATAGTCACACCAATATATCTATGCTTGACGCTGACATTGCTGGGAAATATTTTGTTTCTAACGGCCGCGTTTCTGCCTGACAATGCAAAGTTTGTAATTTTGATCAGCCGATTTGTTATTGGGACTGGAGAGGCTGTGTTGACGTTGACGCGGAGCTACACAGCTATGGCGAGCCTGCCTAGCGACAGATCCAAAGCGTATGGGTTCTCGGCCGCCGGATTGGCGTTGGGATTGCTGGTTGGACCAGGTAAGGTTAAAGTGTCTGAAGTTGTTTTTTTATAACGTATACCATAAGGGAGAGACTCAAGATACGACGGCCGGATACTGACGAAATTTGAGGCTAATTCAGATTGATTATTTTTAAGGGTATATGCTAGGTTTTTCGTGCTCACTTTGAGAGAAATTAATGAGATTTTTAAATCCGGAGGTTGTCAAAAATGTTGCACTTTTTGACGAATTTTGGCATGAAAAGTTTCATGCCTATAACTACCCTAGTGAGCAATGTTTCTACAAAAAATCAACTTTTTCCGCGTGAAACTTGCAAAGATACGGCCAAGAATTTTTTTTCTCTGTGACCTTCCTTCGCGTCTCACATATTCTCTCGGCCACAAAGATCGTTCAATATCTCGGCTGAGCCTACAAAGCATGAGCTAAAATTTGCAAGAATTGATATGTGGCCTAAGCTTGATAGGTATACAAAATTTGAAGAAAATATGAACGTCGCACTTGTGGTACTACACTTCCTTGTCAGCATAATTTCCCCCCCTATTTCCAGCAATTCAAATCGCCTTTTCCTTCCTCGACTACCCCGGCATCCTGCTCTTCTCCAGGCTTCGCCTCAACCTCTACACAATCGCGCCGCTCGCGGTGTTGTTGACCACACTCATCGAGCTTTTTGTTTTCAAGTTCGTCTTCGAAGAGACGTATCCCGCCATTGTGAAAGACAAAACAACGCAGGAAAAGATCCGCTGCGACAAGCTGGCGATGGTTGTAATGTACTTTGCACGGTTCTGTCAATATTTTTCATTCGCTTGTGCAGAAACGTAGGTTCTGGAAGGTTCTTCCAAATTTCTTGGCTACAGTACCATCTGAATTTTTTAACAATGTCATTTATAGTTTGGCAGCGACTTATATTATGTCAATGTACGCCAAAACTCACGACGAAACGGCCACATTGTTGTCGATTTTGAATACAATCGAAGGATTGCTGGCTTTGGCGGCTTATGTGTTCTTTATCGTCGTCAAGGTGGAGAAATGGTAAGGAATCGTTTATGGGGAGCAAGTACATAGGTGTTATATACAGTAATGCACCCACAGTCAGTGGAAAAAACGTACCATTTTGCATCCGGGAAGTATCAAAAATGTGGCGAAATGCTTCCCTCTCCAAGTAAAAAAAAGCGCGCCCGCTCTTTTTGAGAGGGAAAGGGCGCGCCATTCAAGACAAAGTTTTTTTCACCTGGAGAGGGAAGCATTTTGCCACATTTTTGATACTTCCTGGATGCAAAATGGTATATTTTTTTGCCACTGGATCAAGTCCCCCGCTGTAGTCATCAAAAATGTATATACACTGTTGGTTCCAGGAAGGAACGAAAATACCGAAAAAAGGTTCCCTTTCTGGCCAAAAAAGAAGAAAAGGAATTTTGATCAAAAAGGATCCATTCGCAAATTTAACGTCGAAAATTGCCGATAAACAACTTTTTTTAGGATCTCCTTCCGGCTCCTCTCCATTATCGGTTTTCTTGGCCTTACGATCTTGCCGTTCGCCGGAATTCCCTACCCCTTCTATCCGACCAACATTGCAATCGCTGCGACGGTGAACAGTAAGTTTCTTTGTTTTTTTTAGTTTAAAGTGACATCGAACACCGCAATCCGATGTTTGAAACTATTGCATTTTCTTAAACGAAGTTTCTAGTATGGGAGCGTCGGGAATGAGTAGCAATTTGTCAAGCTGTTCAGATCTTTCTTGCTTATTACAGCAATAAGTCGAAGTGTTGAAAAAATGACAAATCACTAAATTGCTTTTGGGAAGAAACGATTTTTCTGGAGATTGGGGGAGCTGCAAATATCATATTATAAATTTGCAATCAAAAAGTATCCATTTGTCGTCAAAAAATTAACATTGAAAACTCTAACTTTAGACGTCACATCTCCCGGATGTTCCACAGCACTGTATTCGTGGTGTTATGATACAAAACAAGTCAATTTCCTCGTGTTCACAATAGCGCTGGTAGTCAGCATTGGAGCCGTTTTCAACATGATGACAGTCGTGTTGAGCACAATGTTCTCAAAGATTATTGGGCCAAAGCCGCAGACTTGCCAACAGAGCTTCTTCCAGTCAACGGCATGTTTTGGAAGGATTGTTGGTCCGGTTTTGATAAGGTAGGAGTAATTGCAGTGTATAAATAGGCAGAGTGTTTCTGATTTATAACAATTTGATGCCGCTAGGTTAAAAAACGACCTGTAAATTTTTGACAGTTTGACCCAGGGTCTTAAAAAGTAAGCCTAATGCAGTATTACCTCAAAAATGGTAAGCTTCTCAAGCGCGACGCTCAGATCTTCTATAATTTTTGCGGGAACGTTTCGCACGCTACACTTATCAATTCCTAAAAGCCTTGGCTTCAGCTTGGAAGAGACAGCCGAGATATTCGGCGATCTCTGTAGCCGAGAGAGTACGCTAAACAAGCAGAGCGCTCAGTGAGCGAAATCATTCGACCACTTCTCTGCCTGATTCGTGTGAAAAAAGTTGATTTCTTGTTCAACATTTTTCTTCATGGTATAAAAGGGAAAAGAAAAGTTTTATGCCAAAATTGGCAAAAATGTTGTCGTATTTTTGCCAGTAATTAAACGCTATGTATGGACATGACAAACAACCATTTTCCTTTGTAAAATACGATTCTTGCAGCTCCCTCTTCACAAGATACGGCCCAGCCGCCGCATGGCTCTCCCAACTAGCCCTACTCTTTGTTGTTCTCATAGTTTTATCCTCCACATATCATCGACTGGTGCCGGCGCAATTCGAACCGCCTTACAAGAAACAAACCAACGCAAGGCATTGAAAAGAGATATCAGTTTATTATACTGTAATTATGTTTGCAATGTACACGGAATGATGAGATAAATTATGTATATACCTGTGGCGTTAGGAAATTGCATAGCTTCAGAATCTCTGAATTCGAAAATTTTGCCTAAAGGAATTTGGAGTCGGACCTAAGGCTTTGTGGAAAAAAGGCAGAAAGATTTGACCCTAAGGGGATGAAATACACGGCAGCAAGGGTTTACATAATTTCACCAGACTCATATACCTTAAGGGCGGTTTGATTCGCCCATGCCGGCATCGTGTCCAGGTCGAAAATCCAAGTCCCATACGTCATTGTGATGCCCTGCAGCAAAATGAATCCAACGACGTTGAGGATTAAGCCAGCTTTTGCCATGTCCATCAAACTCATCACTTTCAGCCCAAAAACAATCGCATTGGGCGGCGTTGCGGCCGGGAACATGAAGGAATACGAGCAGGACAAAGTGATCGGCAGGATGAAGAGCAACGGGTTGGCTTGACGCGCCTGAGCCAACGAGTCCATCATGGGAATGAAGATCGACGCGGTTGTGACGTTGGAGGAGAACTCGGTAAGGCAGGTCACGATGAGGCCGCTGAGCATGAGGAACGCCCAGTTGGGGAGGAGATGATTGAATTCGGCCAAATGTCGGGAAATCAGCTTGGAGAGGCCGGATTTTTCGACTCCTGAAAAAAAACGGTAGGTAAGATTTGCAATATTTATTTTTCTGTCATTTTGTGACACTGGCTTGCAGTGCAAAGCTAAGATTTCCTTTAAATTTTGCAAACGGGCTGGGCACTGACTACTCATCAATTCTTTAAGATTTTAGCTAGCCGTTTTTTGAAAAAGTACATTCAACGATAAGTGTACGGAACGCAAAGTGCGGTCAAAGATATAAGCTTTTCTTGCCCACATCTTCATCAGTCTGCCGGGAAATAATGAGCACAATTCCGCTGCGCCATTCTGTTTGCTAAATTGAAAAGCAAATTGATTTTGTCGCGACACAATTCATTTTCTCGGCGGCGTTGCGATCTAAGGCTCGCTATTTTCCCGACAGACTGAGAGCAGCTTCGCGTAGAAAAAATCGCGTTCTTCTGAACGAAATACTCCGGCGTGCGCTACACCTTTACATAGACTTTCTAAAGCATTTATCCTTACCGGCAGCAATACCATATCCACCACCAAGGAGGAGGAATGTGCTCCATGCGAATTTCTCCTGCATATGTCTCCAAGTGATAATCGTCGGGATCTTCTTGTCGCCCACATAAGTGAAAGGATTCTCTGCGGGCAAGAAGAACAATAGCAGGCAAATAAACATCGCTACCGTGCCGTCGCTGACGTAGCTGAAAGAAAAATAAGATTAGTATAGTTGTATTGATGACATAAGGCGTTAACGGCTCAATAAAACGACGCTTACCCTTTTCGGAACAAGTCGCCCCATCCCGGGAACACCTTAGGGTTTCTAAACAGCCATAGCGTCACAATCAAGATGAAAATGACCATCAAGTTCTTTTCCACGTATCGCATCGGACCCAGCATGCTGTATTTTTTCTGCAGAAGCCTCATAATCACATCGTTTTGACTGTTGTCGAACGATCTGAAAATTTATACTCATCAGCCCAGAAAATCTCGAAAAAATTGTTTTCTGGCTACAAGTTCAACTCACTTGAATCCAATGAACAGAATAACCAGCCAGAAGTACAGAACAATTACCAGCACTCCAGAGATGGGCAGAGAATAAGTGAGCCAAGAGAAGAACGTGATCGGCTGATTGCTTCCGTACCTCTGATCCATGTACCCACTGAGGACGATGTTGGCACCAGTGGCTGTTAACATAATTGTGCCGGCGGAGGAGGCAGTAAAGCAGGTGGAAAGTAGCAGGCCTTTGTAGATATTGACTCGATCGGCGGGGACGCCGGACAAATTGAGACCTTCGTCTCCAACTTCCTCTTCATCCGAGTCCTCTAGTTGGGCTTCTTTGTCGTCGCTAAAAGAAGAAATTGCAACTGAGATTGTTGTAGGTTCAATTTCAAGCCGCAGAAAGCGTTTTTTTTACTTTTTTTGGGAGATTTTAAGTTACGATTTTACATTTTTCTGCACTTTTTTACGACAAAATTTTGAAAATTTTATTTTTTGTATAATTCTGACATTTTTCGGCATTTGACATTTTGTTATTGGTTTTTGGACGAAATGTCACAAAAATTATATTGTCCATTTAATCCCATAAAGAGACTTTTTGTGTTGCAAAAGCAAATTAACAACCTACCCAGAGCGACAAGTCTCCAACTCCTTGATCACAGCCACTACAATGGGGACCATCAACGCAGTGGTCGCGGTATTCGAAATAAAAAACGAAAGCACAGAAGTGGCGCCCATAAATCCCAACAACAATCGTCTTGGATTGGGGCCGGTTGTCAGCAAGATCTTCAACGCCACCCTTTCATGGAAATTGCTGACCTCCACCGCCACGGCCAGCACCATTGAGCCGAAGAAGAGGACGTTGCTGTCGGAGAAGTAGACAGTCGAGATGTGCCGCGCGTTGGTCACTCCGAACAGTGGGTAAGCCAAGATGGGGATCAAGGCGGTCACGGCGATTGGGAGAGCTTGAGAGATCCAGTAATAGGCCATAATGCAGACCACATATGCGGCATAGGCTTCCTGAAAGGAGAGGAGGATTTTTGATAAGCAAAATTGCTGTTTTGAATGGGCTAAGGCCAATTCATATTGGATAAATTCCAGCTATGAATCTGTCGGGAAAATAATGAGCACAATTTTGCTGCCGCAATCACATCTCTACAGTGAAAAACAACTTGATTTTGACACGATACATCTCATTTTCTCAACGGCGATGTGATTTTCGATGCGGCAGAGTGCTCATTATTTTCCCGACAGACTTATAGAATATTGGTTATTTTTGGAACACCTCAATTAAATGTTTTTTCTGAGCCGTTTATTGCTACACTTCATAATGTAATTTTTGATCATTTCTGTTCAAATTTCCTCCTACATCAAATGCTATCTTTATGGCTTCAAAATTGCCGTTTAATGGCTTCAATTCAGCAAAATTCAGCAATTTTACGCCGCTTTACTGCCCATATGACACTTTCAGTCTCGGTGCGTTGAAAGATCAGCAAAGGCCATGCGAAAACAGTACTGATAAAATCGGTCGGCGAGAGTAATCACGCAGCCAATAAAACATGTCATTCCTCGAAGGAATTCGAAGAGTTCTCGGACATTACGGGCTTATCAGTACCTGTTCCCAAATTTAGCATGATTTCTCAAACTTTTTGCAAACTTGGCTGAGCCGTACTTGAAATATACATGCTTGGAAAAGACTCCTACCTTCCTTGGCCATAGCAACGGGATAAACGAGAAGAGGACCGGCGCCAGGATGACTTTGAGCTGCTGACGAAGCGACTTTAGGCGGCGAAACCCAGCCGAGGAGCGGAAGTTGGTGGACATCCTGAAAATGCATTATGAATGAACAATTGAGAAGTATCAACACGTAGCACGATATATTATATATTTTGTAAACGAAAATAAGTTAAAAATGAAATTGTGTCGCGGCAAAGTCAAATTGTTTTCCACTTCGGCGACACGGCTGGCGCATCGACATTGTGCTCATTATTTTCCCGACAGACTGTTATCTTGCGCAAAATTTCAATAGATAAACTAACTCATTATTCATTCAACTCCTCATCTATTTATTATCGGTCTGTCGGGAAAATAATGTGAATTTGCCGCGGCAAAATGTATTGCCTCGTCGCAGTCGCACGATAAACTTTCTGCCATGGCTACCAGTCGCAAAGCGTTAGTGTTTCAAGTCCACATTATTTTCACGAATCCACATTATTTTCCCGACGGACTGATAGCCACCAAAATAACTCCCGTTTACCCCCCAACACCCTACAATCTCCCACTTATCACCGTCTCTCTGGCTACCAGCCATCAACCACGTTCTCTCCAAACACACCAAAAATTCGAATTTTACGCCTGTCTAAAGACGCGTGTTCCGGCTTAAAGTCTTTGCAGTGATAAAGACCCGCTTATAAGGTTTGTCGGAGTACTCCTGAACAGAGGCAAAAACCCCGCTGATAAGGCCGACTTACACGATCTATTGTTATCAACGGAATTTAATAAATGTATTTATAGTTAGAGGAATGCTGGAACTTGTGATCGAGGAGCTTAAGGAGCTTATAAAGGCAGGAAATGGGGAAATTGAAGACTACTGATAGGCAATTGATCTTTGAACGGAAGCTTTTTTCCGATAAAGGCGAGTTGAGAGAGTCTACAAAACGTTGGCATCAAAAACTCGTTTCCATTTAATCAGAATATCACAAATTTCTGAATAGAAATTCTAAAGCAAAATTACTTATATATAGTTTGTTAGAACAATAATGGGAACCATGTCGTTTCTTGTATTGCGAAAGTCACGATATATGACTGGAAAATCTTAGCTGCACTTTTATTTTCAGTCTGTCGGGAAAATAATGAGCACAATTCATTAGGTTCGCTGAAGTGAAAAGCGATTTGATTTTGTCGCGACACAATCTATTTTCTCGGCGATGATGCAATTTTCAATGCGGTAGTCTGCTCATTATTTTCCCGACAGAATGAAAAATTTTATGTTGTATTTGCCAGGATACGCAGCGATTTTTATGCCGAGCGGTCGGTCTTTCTCTGCGATCGTTGCCCTACAAGAAACAGGGCTAGTTATCTTATTATAATAACCGGCAACATCCATAGAAAAAGGCTCAAAAACTTTAAGTAAAAGTAGCTCAAAAACTTTATAACCAGAAACCAACCGTCTTGAAATTAGCCAAGTTTAAACACAAGGAAAATTTAGGCATTTGATTACTTATATATTCTAAATACACATAATTGCTCCTTACTGCATAGAAGATCTACCCACAAATCCACAGCCTACTTGCCTGACAATTTCAAGCCCTAAAAATAGCTGCCGACTCCAATTAAAGCTGACCTCTCACCGCTAACACTACGACTGTGAACACAATCCAACCCACTCGCAACACACAACAATGAGAAGACTCTGATCCCAAAAATACACAGTATAATAACGCCCCAAGCAAATCCTCGCTTTCTAAAAGTTACTTCTGTCCCCACCCATATATTATATATAGAAAATAGTCTTTGGTAGGGCGAAGGTGATCTCTCATTTATCGGTTGACGAAATCACTATGACTCGGTGCGTTTTCGGTTTGGGGAATCCGCTGAAGATGAGATCGCGAAAACGAGATTTATATAAGAACTTTATGGGGAAGGTGATTGGAAACGAATCGGTAAACATTCGGTTATGAACGTGCAGTTACGGAGATTAATATGCTAAATTGTTGATGGTGAAAGGACTTTGGGATTTGGGAAGGTATATTATTTAAACACGAGGTTTGTAAACGACCACGTTCTAACGTAGTTCTGGGTGCAAAAAGCTTCACAGTTTTGCTGTTGTTTGGTATAGAATGAACTACTGTTCATCAAATAACAGGGCAATCCAAGGTAATCAAAAATCAAAAAAGTCCAAAGAATATTACATATCAGTCTGTCGGGAAAATAATGTGGATTCATCACCCTTTGGAATCGCTCATAATCGCTTAGCGACGATTAGCCGCGGCCTGAGATTTGGTGTTTGGTTGCGACAGAGCTAGAATTTAGCTGCGGAAAATCCATATTATTTTCGCGACAAACTTATATACAGTGTGGACCATAATTAAAAGTGCACCTTAAAAATACGACAGCTTTCGTGATAGCCTATAGAAATTTGCAAAAAATTGACAAAAATATGCGACAATTTCGACACATGTAAAATCAAGATTGGTTGTGAAAAGCACTATTTGGAATTTAAAAAAAAACCTGCCACAAAAATCCTATCTACCCTTGCGTCATCCTCTATCAAAACTCAAACGCAAAGAGCATTTTTTAATTAATTTTCCCGCCTCCTTAAATCGTTGCTATATTTCATAACTTCTTTATCTACAACATAGTTTTTGGCGCTCGAAAAATACAATTATTATTGATTTGATCATTCGAAATTTTTTTTCTCGACCTGACAAAATAGCTCCAGGACATCTCTGGCCGTATTTTACCCACATTCAAAAAAGTTTTGAAACATAACAACGGATGGCATTGGACTTTTGTGGGCTATGAGATCAACTAAAAAAAGCGAATTTTGAAATGACCGCTTGTGACCACGGGAAGGCCCATTTTAAACGCAATAAAAGAGTTTTGTTTGATCAAGGCTATCGTCATATTTTCTTCGGCCCAACGCTTTCAATGACCCTACTGCCAGAAATTAGTCGTGACCCTCTCAAGACCAATGAGGGAATTATATACCCCAAGTGCAACGGATCTTCTTTAAAATTTGCACGCTCTTCGGGCATAGATCATATTTTGAATTGCCGACAGTTTTAGCTCGCGCTTTTAAGGGGAGAGCCGGGATATTCCAAGGTTCTAACGCTTGAGGGAGTTTGCGAAATAAACGGTTACAGAGAAAAACGCTTATTGGCTAAGTTTTTGTCAGTTTCATGAGGAAAAAAACTGATTTTTTGTGAAAATATTAGCCTCTACGGTAGAAATAAGCATTGAACTTTTGATGCCAAAATTCGTGGAAAAATGGTCCAATTTTTCCACAAGTTTTGACCGGAAAATCTTACTTCTTCTTGTAAAGCGCGAGCTGGGGAGTCTCACGAATTCCTTACAAACAATTATTCTTAATTTGTGCCAAGTTTTATCATAATTTCAGCGTTGAACTTGGGATACTACTCCTTGTGAGCCCAGACGCCACGATTTTCATTATTACACTTCGAAAATAGCGTTACAAGAATTCAGGATGTTGATCATAGTTTTTACCATCACAATGTCTGGGAAATCAAAGGTTGTCAAAGCCATTCGCCATATAAGGAGAGAAAAGATGGTAATATTGGCTCATTAACAGGCATATATATCATTAAATTCCGATGGGGTCTTTTTCGAATTTTGATTAGTCTGACAAGCAAGGGAATCGAAGCGAGCAGATCACCTGGAATGCTTGGGAAGGACAGGTTAAAATACCAACAAAGGTAATGAAAGTAATACATCAAATTTGCGTGAAACTTGGTAAAAATTAAGACTACGTTTGCTAAGGCCTGTGAGATTTTTTTATCTTGCGCATTGCACAAATGACCGATATTTTTCAATCAAAATTTGGAGAAACTTTGACATTTTTGCGAATTTTGGATTGAACAGTTTTATGCCTACTTCTACCGTAGAGGGTAATGTTTGCACAAAAAATCAATTTTTTCCGCATGATACTGGCAAAGAAATGGCCAAAAAGCGTTTTTCTCTAGGACCGCTCTCTCTATTTCTCGTACTCTCTCAGGCTGAGACTTACGACGTTTCCTTGCCTTACGTTTCATAAACGACGGACATTTTACGGTCGAAATTTGGGAAAAATTTGACATGGGTGGGCAGTACCTTCGGCTTAGTTGTCTCTACATTGCATTCAAAAAAAGATCAAACCTCCGAGATTTTTAGCAAAATTTGGTCAAATACTACTTCAACTACAAAAATCTCAGCAAATTCACTCTATAAATAACACTGAATTTCAAAAGTTGTCTTCTGTAAACTACAGTTGCAAAACAAAAAAATAACAAACACCTTTCGCATTACAAACAACATCACCAACCTCAAAATATACCCGATTCGTTTCTAACAATACATTAAACGGCCAAAATAACAAATCGCATGACGATAGTGTCAATCGCTCGATCTTTGTTTGCCAACATGTGTCTTGTTCTCATACCCGTTCGCATTCACATGAACATTTCTTTCCGAAAACGGATCGCACAAAAACTTAATCTAAATCGGCTTCATGACATCACAATTGGGATTCGATTTCTACTTTGCAAACCAAAACAAACCAAAATACAATGTGCATTTGAGGTGCGGCCGCATGGGAAAGACTTGTGTTTTACACATGAAATTTGGTGGGCCAGAAGTAAGGCTCGGAGAAGGCAAGTTAATAGAAATAATAGGTTCACGGGGTCCTAGGACATTTGATGAACTATCTTGAGGTATTCTACGTACATTACCGCAATAATATCCAGATAGAACTCATGGATCTTTATTTTCTTGGAGCATCTTTTGCTCTTTTCTGTGTTACAATAGTTCAGGGCCACGAAAATTAAAGTTAGCAATAACTAAGATCAGAAAAAGTGGTCATACCGTAAGCCTTCGCCAGGTCTCCGCCGAGCCTTTGCCAAGCGTTCACTGGGCCTTCAAAAATTTTTCCAGGCCTCGTAGACACCTCATACAACTTCTCCGGTCCCAACTTGCTCTACCTCTCGTATAGATCGATATTGCTTTGAACCGAACTGTTGCCAACCCGAAAGCCCGGACGCGGGTAAAAAATGTGAATTTTTGATTCTACGATGGACCCTTGAGTAGTTTTAGATACTCTTTCGAGCTTCAACGGCAAAAAACTGATCCAAATTTGGACAAACTGCAGGAGTTCGAAAAACACGTCATAATAAGGCTGTTGATGAAGATGAACGCGAAACAACTCTTCCGTGAGAGGGACCACAACTCTCGAAAACTCTACGTGAAATTTGCTGGCAAAGCGACTTCGCGAATTTCCCCAGGCTAGCGGAGTATGTTGTGAAGCCAACTAACCGCAAGCCCTTTGGCCATCTTCCGCATGTACATATAACACAATACAGAGCGAAGAAGCAGCAGTTGAAAAAGTAAAATAATTCTGGCAATCATAGCTAACTGCTAAACTTTCTTAATGAACAGAATTTGGTCTAGTCTTTCTTAAATTGCAAGCCGGTAAATCCACCCAAAAACTTTCTCCACTTTGTAAAAGCAGATATACGTGGTTTTAGTAAAAAATGTATTTATTTTCCCGCCGCATCGGATCATCCCTTCCCACTACGGGTGCGAGCGCCAGATGAATTAATGATGTGAGGTCGAAAAACACTCCCCGATGACGACATTCGATCAGATTGGAGGCGATTTTCGCTAAAAATATGCAGAACATGAGTTTCGGGAGCGTCTCTTATCAGAGAGTTCGTTTCGCCTTGTTTGCCGTGGGTATTAAGAAACGGTGGGTCTGGGCGTGTGATTAGTGTCTGGAACTTTGTTTTGGAATGAGTGCGTTTCAGAAATGGCGCTACGGATTTTGGATCAGCGACAATTCTGGTCAACAATATGTACTTTTGGTAGCTGTGGCTTGTCGTTGTATGCGTATGGGAGGCTAGGAGAAGGCGTGGTTAATATAAATACATATTAAGATTGATCAAGCCCTAAGATACTTTATCATCTATTTTAAAGTATTCTACGCGTATTACTGAAATGATATTTAGACAAAACTTACAGATCTTCATTTTTTGCAGCCAGCTTTGCTTTTTTCTATGTTATAGTAGCTCACGGTCAAGAAAACTAAAGTTTTCAATAGCTAGAAGTAGAAAAAAATGGTCAGTAAGTCTTCGCCCTCTCACCGCCGGGTCTCCGCCGAGCGTTCGCTGGGGGATACAGCAGTATTTCCAAGTCTCGTAGGCACCTCCTACAACCTTTTTTTTGGGTCTCAACTTGTCACACCCCCTCGTTCCGATCGATTTTTTGTTGCCCTAAAACTGTCGTCAACCCGAAACGGGACGCGTCAGACATCAGAAAGTTTGTGACAGTTTTCAAAGCTCAACGTGGACGAAGAGCTCAGCAACATAAAACTATTGATGGTTGAAGATAAATAAAGCTTTCACCATCATGCATAATATACCTGATGAATGGCTGCTCCCATTTTCACTTTTGCGAAGGGCGCTTGTACCACTTCCGGCGTGTCGAGAGTATTGGAATGTGTTTATTATTTCAGTGATTATCAAAAAATTTATGACAAAATGAATCGAGACTACCCCACCACCTGATAAAGCACGACATGGATTATGTAATGCTAACCGGAAGTTCATTAGATGGCTTCCGAAATACCAAATTTTCAATTTTGAAATCATCGCTCGGAACGTTGTCCCGCCACAAACAAGACTTTATCTTCTGTTTTCCAGACGTCTTATGCTCCGAATAAGTGATCGAATGCGTTGTCGCCATGCTCATGATGATGCTCGGGGCTGAAATGATGGCTTTCTTCGGTGTCATGGCCCGGCGCTCCGTGACCACTGAGCAAGTGCGGGGAGAGGATCTAAATGAGTTGTTATAGGTCTGTCTGGTGAGCACAGTGTCAAAGGGCCGGCCGATCGCGTCGCTGAAGTGAAAAGCGACTTGATTTTGCCACGACAAAATTTATTTTAATGATGGCGATTCAATGCTTGCTAATTCTCAACCTGTCGGGAAAATAATGTGGATTTGTCGCGCGTTGGAATCGGGCATCAAAGCGATCGCTTTGCGACAACTAGAAACAGCTGGATTTTTGGTGTGTGGCTCCGGCGAGGCGAGACATTCTTGCTGTGACACTGTGACAAACCCACATTACTTTCCTGACATACTGATAGTTTGTTTAAGAAAAACCAATTTTGAGCTAAAAAATTGTGAGACACAATGAAGAAATTTTTCTTACAAAAAATTTTTTTCTTGTCTTTCAAGACCCTATTCTACTATGATAGAAAATAGAACATCTATAAAGCACTACAAAGTCACAATTTTTTTCTGTTCAACACCTACCTCAACATTCAAATGCCCATCGCTGGCAATGTGCGGCGACAGAATGCTCGGCGATAAAACACGGAATGCCAGGTGTTCTGGTGACGCAACACGTGGCGACAGAATAACTGAAAACGTTGGAAAATAAGCCGATTTGAATTTTAACTCACTAGGATTCAACACTTCAAAACTCAGAGCGCGCGGACTGGCAATCCGAAGGTCCAAAAACTTGGGCGACAAGATTTCGGCCAGTATCGCTTCGGGATTCAGAATGTAGGCATCCAACACTTCTGGCGACAGAATTTCGGCTCGAAACGCGGACGGAGAAAGGATTCTGGTGAAGAGGACCAGAGGAGATAACAAGGAATAGAAGAAGGCACTGGGCGAAAGGAGATGCATCTGAAAGAAAATTTTATGAGAATTGAGCAAAATCTTGATGAAAAGTGGCTTAAAAAAGCAAGGAATATGCTCAAGGTGCAGTGTTTGAGTTTGAATAAAAATTTGGTTGAAATTTTTGACTGATTTTTTTGAAGAAATATGTGGGAATTCTAGCTTGTGCTGTCTAGAAACAACCGAGATTTTCAGATCGAAAGAAGTCAAAAATGTGACACTTTTCGTCGATTTTGCCATGAAAAATTTCATGCCTATTTCTACCGTAGAGAGTAATGTTTCCACAAAAAATCAAAATTTTCCGCATAAAATTGGCAAAGATATACTCCCGGACATATCTCTCTGACCACCCTTTAGCTGGGCTGTTAATTGAGCTACATGTTCCAAATTTTAACTGCCCTATCAAGAAGATGTGCAAAACATTTGGTAAAACGGAATTTTTCATCCTTGCACTTTAAGGGCAGTTTTTTCGACATTTTCAAAAAAAGTGTGGACAAAATTTTCTGATCACTTGGATAAATTGTTCGCAACTGCCGAAAAATGTTTGCCACGGGGCTAAAACTGCTTATACTGCATAGCACAGACGTACCGCATATATTTATGGCAAAAAATCGGGGAGTAGTAACATACGTCACAAGGGGTTGTGCATTCTGCGCATTACGCGATTTTGTTAGTATACCACGGCTCTAGTTGGGCTAGAAGGATAAAAAACGTACAAGATTATGTAATTGATCACACGTAATCAATTTTCGTCCGTTATACCGAGGGATGTTAAGAATTTCATCAAGCATGTGCAAAATCATTGCAAAACTAACCAGCCGGCCGGACTTTAGCGGCTTGTAACTTTTTCAGAATTAGCACAAACTGGCTGAAATAAAACATGGCTTAGCCCTACACAATGAAGAATAAAGTTATATTAGTGCTGACCCGGCCTCATGAAATTTCGGACTGAAATTACGCGATAACGCAAACTTGAGGATTTTTTGGCAAATTCTGACCATTTTATAATTACAAAATCGGAATAGTTGCGTTTTTTTTGGACTTTTGCGTTAGTGCGCGCACGAAATGCGAAGATAACGGGAGATTGCTATCCCACGTTCTTCGGTATACACCAAAGAGTACTGTAGGGGATTTCTAGGCGGATTTAATAAAAACGCCTGCGGTTATGATCAATTATTCAGAGATGGGCTACTCCTAGGTGATTTGCTTAAGGCGTTAATGGCATATTTCACATTGCTGGGTAGTAAGATCTTGTATCACTACCTCCAATAAGTTCCTTATTACTTTTTCTGAAACAAAAAAGTCGTCCTTGCCGCATAGGGCGTGATTTTAACGAGAAAAAGAGCGCTGCAAGAATACGAGTTGCTTGAGGGCACACGCCGAATTTGGTGGTAAAAAGCATACCCATCGTCCTTGTAGGTCCCTTAATAATGTTCGAAGATAACTGAACCATGTCGCTTACTTAAGGAGACTGAGAAAACTTTAGTTATTTTAGGTGATCAGAAAGTTTTGTCCACCAATTTTTGAAAAAACCTGCATAACTCGCCTAAGGACAGAGACACGAAAAACAGTTTTATGTGGCACATTCTGTTTGTCATGACCAGTATACATGCCAAGTTTCAAAGCGATTGCATTATATTGACTTGAGATATGGGTGGTCAGAAATTTATGTCCGGGAGTATATATCCAAAAAAGTGTATTTCACCGTAACCCACATCAGATACAAAATTTTTTTACTTAAATCGAGAAATCTGATTTGGAGGTTCTATTAGTATTGGTCCATATAGGAAATATCCAAAATATTATCAAAATTCGTCTATACAAAAAAAAGTTGATGCGATTTGAAAATTTGGGATTAAAACAGGCGTTTTTGGAACTGAAAACAATTGCGATTGTAGGAATTGCGGGTTTTCTTCACCAATCATGCTCATTTAGATCCAATCTATCAATTACCGGGTAAAAAAGACGGTTTTCACAGTTTCCCATAACGTCAGCATGATACATGACAATATTCACCACTAAATTTTTTAAGGTTTTGAAGCTGCAAATCATTCTTACAAGAAGTGATATTGATTATAAGATCAAATTAGTTTCAAAACATCCGTTTTTACCCTAAAAAGTTCAAAAATTGAGGAACTAGGTTGTTGTATAGATCATGTATAATATCGAAATTTGTACCAAAAAACGGATGATAGGCTTCAAAAAAAGAATTAAAAACTATGTTACTAACTAAAACCGTCGATGGGTCAAAGAAATAATCCGTATGTTTCTCACTTTGCATGTCTGTATCAATTCCGTATTATCCATGATAGTGAGACCATCTTAGGAGGCTATGTCGCCGGCCGGCGCTTTACCAACGCGGCAACTTCATTCTAGTTTTTATGAAAAGGGGACACCTTAACAAGTCCAAACGAGGTCTGAGACCAACTACTAGCCCTTTTTTGAATCTTATTTTAATCATGTTGTACATGGTAAACTTATGAAAACATATGGTGGAGATTCTTTTCCATCTAAAAAGAAATACGTAGCCAACGAAAGGACGTTATTACGTTTTCAAAACATAGATTACCGATGCGGCAAACCCAAATATGAACATGTGAAGACGTATGTTATTCATGCTAAATTGATGGCAAAATGTCATTTAATTTGGCATTATGGACTCTGAAAGAAGGTTTTATAAACTGAGATACCCTATAATGAATGTGTCCATGCAGTGAGCAGCCTTAGCCGTTGCAAAACCGAAAAAATTTTTTGATATACCAAGTTTGATGTATTTCGCCATCATCTCCAAAACTTGCAGACCAATTCTGCCGAAACTTTTCATATAGAAAGAAAATAACATTATTGATAACTCCTCCAAATCAGATTTCTTAATATAAGTTGGGTATTTGCAAAATTCGAATCAGAGTTTTCAAAAATTCCAAATTTTGCAACCTTTTTGTAGGCTTCCCATGAGGTCGCCAGACCCCAAATTAATTTTTAAAAATAGGTAGATGTCTTTTCTTTAATTTGGTTCATCTATTGGAAGAATGCCGCAATCATACTTTGAAAACTATCAATTTTCCCGAGGCCCATAAAAAAAATTTAAAAAAATAAATGCCAAAAATCCTTGGCATTCCGTTTGTATCTGATGTGTAACCCCTTCCTCCTCGCCATGATTGTTGAATATCTCTACAACACCTGCAAAACGCGAGCTAAAATTTTAGATAGGCTTTTTCAAGAGCATGTGCGACGTTTGCTACCTTGCGCTTTGCAGAATCGACCAAGGTTTTTCGGTCAAAAGTTCGGGAAAGTTGGGCGCTTTTTGCGAGTATTTCCGGGGAGAACCTTGCTTCTATTGAGCTGGACAGGGGCTATATAAAAAAATTATTTTTTTTTCTGCGTGAAACTGGCAAAGGACGGCAAAAAAATTCAATTTTCTGTAGCCGTTCTCCGCACTTTGCGTACTATCTGGGGGGCAGTGATAGGAAAGATACAAAAAGACTCCTTCCTTGTTAATGCAAAAACAATTACCATAACCTTACCGTAAAAAACTCCGGAGAAACAAAGTCTCCGGCAAAGGCGTGCGGCGACAAGATGATTCCCTCCAACGCAACCGCACCTTCACGATGCTCAAACGCCCATGGTTCGAGGACAACCAACTGAGGGCCATGATGCTCTGTGTCCGGACTTTCCTGTCGTTTCACTCTGTTTGGCGTTCTTCTTGCAAGCTCTCGGATCTTGTCTTCAAGCAACTTCTCTCTTTGATTTGGCGTATAAAAATCGTATTCGGAAGTTTTGCCAAACAAAACTTTTGACTGAAACGGTGTCGTGAATGTGTAGCCGTCTGTTTCAAGTTGATCTCGTTGATCCTCCGAGTAGGATTTTCGAACCTCTTCGAACTGTTTTAGACGCTCTTCGAACTCGACAATTTTGGGGTACGCCTTGGTTTCGATAAAGTCAATGTCATCCTTGCTCTTGTCGAAAATTTCGTCAATTTGCCGGGAAGCGCCGGTAATTTTCATCAAGAGGTCGATCCATTGGTACATCTCACCGCTGTCAACGGAGAGGTTCTAAAAATTGATAAAAATTCTATCAGTCTGTCGGGAAAATAATGAGGACGATATCGCTTTGAAAGTCGCATCGCCGCCGAGAAAATGAATTGTGTCGCGGCAAAATCATTTTTTTAAACCTCAACGATGCGTCGGCATTGTGCTCATTATTTTCCCGGCAGAATGACAAATAATGAAAGTGCAGCGAAAGGTTTCCATGAGTTATCATTCCTTCCACTAGTCACAGTGAGACATTTCAAGACAGACAAATCCTCTTGCTCACCTGAAAAATCGACGGGATTGAGAAGAGCCCCTTGTCATGGAAGCTCAGTAAATCCGGCGATAAAAATTGCGGGCCAGTGCTCTTCTCCTTCGGGAACAACCCAAAAAGCCGAGGAGAGAGGATGGACAGCTTCTTGAAGGACTGACTGTTCGCAAATACATTGACGATCCTCTCAACCGCCGAGAGTGTTGATGGCGGTTGGTTTTCAAAGGTAACGGTCTGATTTATGCCACGAATAAACCTGAAATGAAGGATTCTTAAGATAGTGTTTTAATGCCAAAAACGCTCTTAGTCTGTCGGGAAAATAATGTGGGTTTGTCGCAGCAAAAAGCCTTTCCTCGTCGCAGTCGCGCAACAAATCGGCAGCAGCGGTTAGTAGTCGAAAAGTGATGATGGGTGATTCCAAGGCGCGGCAAATCCATATTATTTTCCCGACAGAATAAGTATACATACACGGGTAACATACAATTGAGAAACTAGAGCTAAAATTTTCAGAAATTGCTACGTGTCTTATAACCAAAGCGTCGCACGGCAACCCAGGGGGTCTCTCTGCTTTTTTTTGACACTTCGCACACCCAGTATCGGTAAAATTCACACGAAATGTCACAACAGAATTTTTCGGGTGGTTTTTCGATGGAAAAATATTTTTTTCAAACCCACCTTGACGACCTCCTGGCCATTTCGTTCATAAAATTCTGGCAGTATTCCGCCTTCTTCAGATAACTCTTGATCTTATTGAGCTTCTGGAAGGTTTCGGGCAACTCTTTAGTATCTGCTTCTTCTTGCACCTTCTTTGCTTCGATCACTTGTTCAGTTTCCTTCTGCTTCTTCAGAAACCTTCTCCTCTCAACCAATCTTGCATAACTCGAATACGGACTGATTCTAGAGTCCGTCCTGTATCTCTCCCTACTCCCGCTGTTATCAACGGTCGGTTCTGACCCTCCATTTATGGCTCTTTTTGCTCTCCAATTACTGTTGCTCCAATCTCTTCGCACACTCCGGATAAACATTACAATCGGGTTGTCTTCGTTCTGAAAATCCACCTCTATTGAGGTATGATGACGGTCCATTAAATTGACAACACAACGAGCCAACTCTGGGATGATTTTAGCGTCCCGAGAGCAGATTTCATAGAGCTTTTGAGACGTTGTGTCCGCAGAACGCAAGAGCTTTTTGGCTTTCATTTTTAGCATTAGTTTAACAGCAACTTGATACTCGTAGATGTCCAATTTGTTTACGTTGAGATCAAAGAAACGGGGAGGATCTGGAAAAAAATTATTGATGATTTAATACGGTATTATCATAGAGTACGAAGGAAAAATTTAGCCAAATTTAAAGGTCACAAAATGCTCACCATTCTTGACTTGAGCGCAACAGCATGCCATGGCCAATAGAAAGAATAATTTGATGGTAAAGCTTGATGATGTCATGCGAAGAAGTCTGGTAGCGTGGAAGGCATTGGACCTTTGTCAAATGGCTTTGCCCTGAAAGTCAATACAGTAAAATGGTTGATCAAAATCTAGATAAAATATAGAAATCTGACAAATCAACTGCATAAAAGACCAATTATTTTTTTCGCTTCCTGGTATGAAACCGAGATTTCCAATTGCCGGAAAAAGTTACAGCGCGGGACAACCAAATCCTTGGAAACCCTGTTGTCGTCACGGTTTCTTAATGGATTTTCGTTATAAATCGTTATTAATAAAGTTATCAGCCTGTCGGGAAAACAGTGAAGGGTCGTGGCGTTTTGGGATCGGCTAGCATCGTTTTGCGAAGGGCTTGCCGTAACTGGAAATTGCCCCTTTTTCCGACGAGGCGAAACATTTTGCTGCGACATCCCGCCATTACTTTCCCGACAGACTGAATAATTGAAAAATTCAGAGACTTTTGAACTGCGGCTTTTAGGGCTTGGTAAGTGAGACATCAATAAAGTTTTTGGTGTCCGTTTCAGAAACTAACACATGTAATAAATATTGAAATCAGCACAAACATAAATGAATAAAAAATTTGTAATATACAAGTGTTAATCAACTACTGTAAGCCTTTAAAAATCCAACACTCAGAGATCGTTATAGACAACAAATCTTCTCCCACAACTTTCACAAACCAACAACCGTCAACGCCAATGGAGCATTTAAATGGGGATGAGAACGGGAATGTTGAAAATTCGCTTGAACTTGAAAAATTTATATGACAAAAAGGGCATCCGATTCCCGAGGTGTTGCGGGAAATCCGGCTGAATGGCTTCAACCTTTCACCTGTTTGCGCTTTCGCTCGTCGGCGACGCCTCCTTTTTGTTCCTAGTTTGACGCATCGCTGACGCGGCTCGCCATCCGGCTCTCGAGTTCAAGTGAATGGAAGCGAAAAGCGAACGTCCGATTGTAAACGGTAATGGGCCGCTCAAGGTTGATGATAATGGGTGGAAATTTTATGGAAATTTTGAAGGAAGTTTTGAACTTCAATGCCATCGAAAGGTGTTTAAAGAACACGGAGGCGAGCAGCGTTGCACCTCCCAACTAGCATACCCCATAAAAACCACAGAAAGCCAAAAGGACAAGCATCCGACTTATCTGGCTGCTAGCCCCAATAATAACAGTCTTGTTATTGAAAGGCAATAACAAGATTATCTGTACGCTCCCGAGCGGATTTCTTCTTCACGTCGAATTCCTTATCACTTTTTTGTAAACCGAGAAATTGTCTGTGTCATGTCTTTTGTGTCAAGTGGTTTACTCAAGTATCTTTTCGTTTTTTCCATTTTCTAATATGTGTTTATTGTCTGATTGCCTTCGGCAACTAAATATCAAGTTGACCTTTAGTACGGCCGGACGCGGCAACGGCAACAAACACCGGAATTGCCGACGTGGACAATTGTAATGAAAGAGTCAGTGGGTCGGAACGCAAGCCCAGCGAACGGTTGGCTGCTGACGAGGAGTCTCGGAGAGAGAACTCGGTTGTGTGTATTGTGGTTTTCGAAGTATGGGTTTTGAATGATAAACTATCGGTGATGCTTGGTTTGGGATTTATTGTGAAGGTCAAGAGGGACCGGTTGGGGGTAGTTGCGGTTGGTGGTCAGGGATACCGAAAGTGCACCTATTTGGCGACAGAGATCCACGGCGTTGGATCTCTCTCACCTCTAGGAGGTCACCAACTCCGCTTTGCCACTGGACTTTCCTCACCTTGAAGACCAAACTCACCTTTTCCTTTGCCGTCTTTTTTATTGCTTTCGGATCTTTCACACCCTCGAAGATCCCTCTACACCTTGCCTTTCATCAACCATCAGCAATCCCCCGTCCAACCCACCCCATCCATGCTCTATACATCCACGGACTTCTACAGACATATTCAACCACAATTTTCTTTATACTGTTTACCCTTTCGGGGATGGAGATTATCCATTACCAATCCTTATCGCCTCAAACCAAGTTGAGCGTAAAAAACAAGCAATAGAGGTGATTTTCAGACAGGTACGTTTGACCGACAAATTATTAATCGTCTGCGATCCGTGCTGAACCGTGAACTCCGCAGAGCGAATTATTGTAACGGATCCGGATTGATTTCAAACGAATTGTTGAAAAAGTCGCCCGCCGAGAATTCGCTGACTTGTGAGGATTTGTTGAAAAACTCGAGTTTTTATGTTAAAGAAACTTTTTTTTTTAAATTTAAAAGATTTGAAAAGTTTGAGTCGGGGAGGGATTTAGATATTGTCTCTCTAGCTGAGAGAATAGTAATGATTCGAACAAATTTTTATTAGAATATTACTGTAACATTAGCCTTGCGACTCGATAATTTACCCATAGGAATGTGGAAGATTGAGGAGATGCTGATATTCATTATCTTGATGTTCATGATGATGCTCCGGACTGAAATGATGACTCTCTTCCGTATCATGACCGGGATGGCCATGGCCACTGAGCAGGTGCGGAGAGAGTATCTATAATTTCACAAACATGACGGAAAACACTGTCTACTACTTACCTCAACATTCAAATAGCCCGAGCTCTCAATATGCGGCGTTAAAATGCTCGGCGACAAAACGTAGACACTGAGGTATTCGGGAGACAGATATTTGGCAGAAACAATATCTGAAATCGGTATTTAGCGCTATCGCTGGCGTAGAAAACTTACAAGGAGTGAGAATCTCCACAGATAAGGCTCTTCCACTGCCAGCTCGAAGGTCCAGAAATCGTGGGGATAAAATTTCGGCCACGAACACTTCTGGCGTCAAAATATACGATGACAGGGTTTGAGGTGAGAGGATCTCGGCTCGAAAGGCGGATGGCGATAAAATACGTGAGAACAACGCCAACGGAGAGAGAATGGAGGCCAGGAAGGCGTTCGGTGAAAGGACTTCGAGCTGAAAAGTAAAAAATATATTAGGTGGATGCATAATTATCCGGCGGTTTTATTGCCTCATTTTTTGTTAGTTAAAATTCGTGTTTTGTTAATCTTTTCTCGAAATATTAAAGGCTTGTTGTTTTTTAGGCCACGCTTTATCAAAAAACTTGCCGACAACACCGATGGTGACACAATCTCCGCGGTGAAGGCGTACGGCGACAAAATCAGTCCATCAAGTACAACTCCTCCGCCATATCGGCCTTCAAAGGCATACGGCTCGAGCGTTCTGATATCCGGGATCTTCCCTTCGACCGCCGGACTCCACCATCTGAATCCCTTGGACTCTGGCTTCGGTGGCTCTGCAATCTCTCTTTTGGGTCGTTGGTTTTCTTCATGATCCTGATAGTCTTTCAGCGTCGCTAGCTGTCGAATTCTCTCTTCCAGAAACCTCTCACGCTCCTCGGGACTCGAATAATACACTTCCGAAGCTGCTCCGTAAAGCTTCTCGGCTTGTCCCGGTGAAATAAAGGTGTAGCCGTCAGATTCCAACTGGTCTCGTTGTTGATTACTGTAGCTTCTTTTGACCTCATCCCAAATTCGTATCCGCTTCTTGATCTCTTGCACTTTTGGATAGGCCACTTTTTCAATGTATTCAATTTGATCTTTATTAGTTGTTAACAGCTCATCCAGCTTCTTAGAAGCGCCCGTCAGTTGCATCAGCAGTTCCATCCACTTGAACATTTCGCTATCTCCAACTTGTGAGCTCTAAAATTAATCGATAAAATATAACAATGTTGCAAAAGCTCACTTGAAAAATCGATTGGAGTGAGAAGAATCCTTTGTCATGGAAGCTCAACAATTCCGGCGACAAAAATTCCGGACCAAGCGGTTTGCCTTTGGGAAACAAGTTGAATAAGTGAGGAGAGAGGATCGACATTCTTTGGAACATTTTGTCGGATTGAAACATGCCGACAATCTTTTCGAATGCCGAGAAGGGGCTGGGCGCTTTTGTTTGAAAGACTGTGGTGTGGTTTAGGTCTGCGAGATACCTGAAATTAGAAATAGGCCATTACAGGGTGGCCAGAAAAAAGTGGCCAGAAAAAAACGGAAACTTCTTTCATGGATCCTGACGCGAAAATGTTTAGGTGTAGCCAAATGATTCTTTCACCGTTAAATTCTCCATGTTCTTCGTCCCTAGTACTGTGACTTTCATGGCCATATCTATTACTTACCATGGTTTTTTTGAACGTCAAAGAAAGGGACCTCGATTTTGGTCCTTTTTTTGAGGCACGCTTTGCTCTTATTTCGAGTATGTAAAGTTTGCTACAAAAAACTGGAAAATGTTCCCCTTGCAATAGAAAAAAAGAAGGCCAGAATTTTTTCTCATACTTTTTTCCGCACTTCGGGCCCTACCTCGTCTGCAAAGACTGTTCAAAATTCCGACTGCGCCGGCCCAACACGACATAAAATTGCTCAAGGTAGCAGTATAGCTGATACGTGTGTGCAAAGCTTAAATAAAAAAATCTCTTCTCTGCGTTGTACCTTGAAAATTTCTTACGCTAAGCACTCTCCACAGGAAAACTTATAAGCAGTGTGTTATCTTTCGAGCCCATTTTTGCGATTGTCTGTATTCAGCAACTCACTTTGATGTGCGTTTTCCCATGTCATCAAGAAATTTGTGGCATTCGGCGGCTTTGCTCATGTAACTCTTCACTTTCTCCATTTTCTTGAAGATCTCTGGCAACTCCGTTCTTTTCTTAGCCCAAGAAGACGTAGGCTCTGTGAATTTCCCTTGTTCCTCCTTTCGGAGTTGCCATAGATTTTTTGCCGGAGCTGTTGTTGATTTCGGATATTGGTGACGTTCTTCTGGCCATAGATTCTCATCACGATCGTTTTGTTTTTGCTCTGCTTTGGCTGTTTGATCAACACTCTCATTCTGCTCTCCTTGATTTTTAGTCCAGGCCATATTAGTCTTCGTACCTTCTTCTTGCCTCGGCCAAAGATTTTCATCAACAACCTTGGGCTTCTGATACTCCACCTGCCTGCTTTCGACCCGCTGAATTCGACTAATCCTCCATCGCACGGGGTTATTCCTCAACCCAATGCTCCGCCGAGGTCGTTCTCGCTTCATTCGCCGTAAAAACATCATAAATGGATTGTCCTCGTTTTGAAAACTTATCATTGGAAGCTCGTCGGTCTTGTCCATAAGATTCACAACGCATTGCGCTAGCTCGGGGATTCGCTTTGCATCTCGAGAGCAAATTTCATAGAGCTTTCGAGAGTTGTGGTCCCTCTCCCGGAGGAGTTTTTTCGCTTTCATCTTTATCATCAACCGTATTATGGCGTGTTTTTCGAACTTCTCCAGCTTGTCCAAATTGAGATCAAATTTTCGTCGTTGGAGTTCTAAAAAGTGTTGGAAAGCTTCGGGTCAACGACAGCTTGGATCAACGGAGAATCGACCGATACGAAGGCTATGGCAGGTGGAGGCCCAAGTGAAAGTTGTAGGAGGTCTCTACGAGGCCTGATAAAGCCGCTGGATGCTTGGCGGATGCTTGGCGAAGGCTCGGCGGAGACTACGCAAAGATCTACGTCACGACCTCGTTTCTAATTTCAGCTATTACTTACCTTAACTTTCTTCATTCTGGGCTATTGTAACATGGAATGGACCAAAGACTGTTTGAGAAAATTAAGATCCGTAGGTTTTATCTAGAGATTATTGTAGTAATACGTGTAAAATACCTCAAAACGGCTAATAAACTGTCCCAGAACCCAAAAAAAATCGCATTTTTTCTATTAACCAAGCCTTTTTTCTTAGCCTCCGCCATGCATACAATGACAAATTGAGGCAACCCAACGGATTGCCTATCGTAAACCCGAACTGTCGTTGACCCAAAAAGCCAAGGCCTTTCACTTTTCCACTCACCTCGACGCATCACCGAGTCAGCAACAGTAATCAACACAACAAAAGAAACGTAAAGCCGAAGGGAATTCATTCGAGATCAAGTAAACTACAAATGCCAAAAGTTGCATTTAATATTCAAATAGTGTCGCCATCTGCCGATAATCCACAAACCAGGGAGAATAAAAAAAGGTATTATTTCTCGGCGCACCGTAATAGGATTACCTAAAAAGTGTTGAAAAAACGTTGAACGGTCAAGAAAGGATTTAGGGATTTATAAACTCGCATAATAAAAAATAAAAAATGTAAATTTACAGAGAAAGTTCTCCAAGTGCGACGCTCAAATTTTGATGAAACTTGGGACAAATTTAAAGAAGGTCCTAAGATATTAGGCCTTCCGGAAAGTCGCAGGACTAATTTTTGGCGTTTGCGGTGTGCGAAAAAAGTCAGCGTGCGAGTGACAGCCCAAAAAAAAAACGTTTGTACGGTGCGAAAAGCAAGAAATTGCACAGTGCAAAGAAGACTGTTGTTTTTTCACGGTGTGTGCCGTCAATTTCATCCAGGCAACTTTCAGGAAGAGCTAGTAAATCCTAGACTTTTAGCCCGCGCTTTGCAGAAACGACCAAGATTTTTATGTCGGTTTGTTGGCAAAAATGTGATACTTTTTTATGAATTTTGGCACGAAAAATTTCACAGAAGTTTCTACCGTAGATGATGTTTTAACGAAAAAATCAATTTTTTCTGCCCAAAGCTGTCAAAAATAAAGCCAAAAAGTTCTTTTCTCTGACCGCTCTCTGCATTTTACGTACTCCCTAGGCCGCAAAGATCGTTCGTTATCTAGGCTGCCCCTGGAAAGCACGAGCTAAAACTTCCAGGAATTGATATCTGGTCCATTCCGGAAATGCGTGCAAAATTTAGAGAAAACTTGAGCATCGCACTTGAGGTACTTTCCTTGTTAATAAAGTCGCCGTATTTTATAAAACAAAGAGTTCAAGGCCCTCGAAACCCCAAAAAAAATACTTTTTTATCGCTTACCTCCTTAGGGCACCTTACGAATATCGCTTTGGGTTTTAAAATCCGTGGAAATCGCCTTAAGTCCGCCGGGTCAGCCTCAAATTTCAATAAGCCTCCATCGATGATTGGATTTCCTTTTGTGGAAAAATCGCAATTGAGGCGGATGTTTACCTTCCATGCCGATACGTACGGACTCGTCTTTGTTTCTTGAAATGTTTCGTCTCGAGAGTGTTTACCGTGGTGTTTGGTGTTACAAAAGAATTTACTTTTATTTCGAGCAGATAAAAACAGCATTCTGACAAGACCCGATCAACTGGAAAATTGTATCAAGTGTGACATTCAGATATTGACAAAAATTGATACAAACATGCATAAAATTTCTATCCAACATGCCAGAGTGCCAGCTTGAGATTGCAGAAACGACCGAGATTCTTACATTGAAAGTTGGAAAAATGGGAGTTTTTTTTTCGAATCTTGCCATGGAAAGTTGCACGTCTATTTCTACTGTAGAGGGTTATGTTTCCACACAAGATCAACTTTTCGCATGCTAAGCTGGCAAAGATATGGCCAGGAAACAAAGGCCAAAGCTTCATGTTTCTCTGACCGAACTCTTGCATCTTGTGTGCTCTCTCACCAGCAAAGATTCCTGAATTTTTATGGCAGCTTTTGTGCAAACTAAAAAATTTATGAAATTGATATATGGCCAAGAAAATTTGAAATTCGCACGTGTAATTCTTCTTTGTTAAGCTCACAAAAATGTAAGGGAAGGTTCCCAAGTGAAATGCTCAAATGCTCTTCAAATTTAGTTCACACGTCGAACATAATCCACATATCAATGCCCAAAAATTTTAGCTCGCGCTTTGCAAGCCCAGTCAAGATATTCAGCAACCTTTGTTGATAAGCAAGTAAAGCGGAGAGTAGTTACAGAGAAAAAATTTCTTTGTCCTTACCTTTGGCAGTGGGAAAAATTGATTTTTTGTAGTAACATTACACTCTACAGTAAAAGTCGGCAGGTAACTTTTAGAGTCAAAATTTAGAAACAAAATGTCATATTTTTCCGATTTTTGATATACAAATCTCGGCCGTTTCTGCAAAGCGCGAGCTAGAAGGCTCGCATATGTCGTAGAAAAAATGTTGAAAACTTGTGCCGAGTTTATGTCAAAATTTGAGCGAGAAACTTTGAGCACGTACTCTGTGAACTTCAACTCCTGTAGCACTAAACTTTGTTTGTTTTTTGATTCGGAACACTTCGTTCTCCAACTGTTGCTAGCGGCAACATCTCATACCACATCCTTTCAACACTATTAAAACAAAACTTTTTTTCCGGCATAACACCACCACAGTTTATTATTACAAAAAAAGGCATTTTCTGCGGCCATCACCAGACATTATTTACAGCATTGGACTTGCGTTTATTAATATCGCCAATGTCTTGTTTTCTCCTCTCACTGTGAATGTGACTGCCCACCAAAAACTTGATTGATCTGCCCCTTAGGTGTTTTGTAATTTTACAGTCTTTGTTTTCGCCCTTCAGCGCTCTCGCACCGGCTAAGGTTCGGCTGCAACGTTGACCGGTCTCTCTCGTCGAAAATAAGAACGATGAACATGTTGTTTGCCAGTTTGCTGCTGATTTGTGGCCTCTCAAGTGGCCTGGCCAAGAGTTTCGGGAAGCTGAATTGCTCGGATCATGTGCATAATCTGGTGGTCGCAAACTCCGACTTCTCACGTGAGTCTTGAAATTTTGGATGTGAAAAAATGTTTGTCGAAGAGAGAGGATGAAGAGCGAGGAGGGAAACAGAGAGAAAAAAATAAGCCTTATTATCCATGTCCTTGACGACCTTTTCCCAAAAAAGTTGTTTTTTGTTGAAACGTGACCTTTTCCACGTCTATTTTCATCGAAATATCAGAGCTTTTTCGACCAAAAAAACCTCAGTTGTTTCTGCAAAGCGAGTGAAAATTTTCACAAATGCCTGAGGGCATAACAAGTTAATTTCCTTCAATTTTCCCCAAGCTTTATCAAAATCTATCCTCCTCAGACCTTCCTATTCAAAATTTCAAAAAAATCCATCTAAATCCTCTCACCCTTGCAGACCAAAAACCCTCGTATATCACATTCCTCACTGCCGACATCTACAACCACGACCATTCCCCTTCATGCGCGTTTGGAAGGCCGAACGTCCCGCTGCCCGGTTTTGTCAAATTCTTGGACGGAGAGCTCCACGTGACAAAATACTACGATGTCCTGAAGGATGGAGTGCTCAAAGCGACCGTGAGGAGCAGTTTCTTCGAGAAACCGATCTGTTTGAACGGCGAAAGTCAGTATCTAGCGCTGCCCAATTCTATGTGGTAAGGGGATACTTTTGAATTAAAAATGAACTGATTTTCAGCGACTTGTTGAGCGTAAAATCCAAATATAATAATTTCAGTCAATTCAAAATTAGCGACTTCATGAACCACGACATTGTGCGGGTCTTGGAGGAGCCTGGAGTCCACACACTGCAAGAAATCACCGAGAGGATCGGGTTAAACTCAACCATTGAGCTGCCAGAGCCCCCAAGCTTCTTGGGAATCTCGTTGTTGGACCTGTTGTCGGTAAGGAAGGGAGCATTATCCCAACAGACTAAAACAAAGGCAAAAACTATTAGCATCAGAAAAAAAGTGACGCTGAAAGATCGCTAAGCAGTTTATTTGCCTGTCCAAGAAATAATGAGCACTCTGTCGCAGGAAAAATCGCATCGCTGTTGAGAAAATGAATTGTGTCGCGGCAAAATCAAATTATTTTTTTTACTTCAGCGACTTGATCGGCGCACGTCAAACTGAGGAGTCCGGTGACCGGAGTAGACTCTTCGTTCTCGGTTTTTTACATTTCGTCTTGATTTCGCAGAGAAGACAGAGAAAAGAAGCGCAAAAACGTACTCTCTCGCCCCAAAAATTCCCCATTTCTTCCCCGATAAAACGTTTTTTCGCGTCTTTTTTTTGGCAAATTGACAATCCATCTCGCTCGACTGTTCTAGCATATCTCAGTTTGGCGTGCGGCGCAGCGACATTGTGCTCATTATTTTCCCGACAGACTGACGTCTTCAAGCTAAAGATCTTTTTGAAGAGCCTTCAGCAAGGTCATATTGCAAAAAAATCAAAAAAAAAAATGCATTCCAGTGAATTCGCTGAAGCTTCTTCTTCAGCGAATTTACTGCAATGCTATTTTCTTTTCTCGGAAGTAGCCGCTAACGCTGGCAAAGCAGTAAACACTATTTTTGTCCCAAGCAAGAGAAATTGATATGCTTTTACAGTAAATTCTACTGCTGTAAAGCTTTATTTGACCCCGTTTTTTGCCGCATAGTCAAGCGAATTGACCTCCAAACACGTGATTTTTAAAAAACCGATGATTTTCAACGCCAACCAAGGCTTATTCCACCATTTTCAGGGAGAATTCGCATTCGGCTTTCAAATCGAGACCAACGGCCAAACCGTGATGGACGTGATGATCCCCACCAACCACAAATGGCTTCAAATCGGCGTCGCCGACAACTCGGTGAAGGATGAGGACGAGAGCGGCAGCGAGGAGGAATAGACCCACCAAAATGCCAGCCATGTCCACATACTCTACACAATATCCCCTATAACTTATACTGTATATACATCTTGCTTCCAAATTCCGCTCCAGTTCGTAGTTAGTGCTTGTTTTCGCCGCGTAATTGTAAATATTATCCGCAGCGCCCGTAATCCTGTTTTTTTATTTATCAAATGATTACACTTTTGGGCTCACAAAACATCGGAGATCAAGGTTGTATATACGAAAAGTCTTTGTTGTTTCAATAAATTCCCCAAATCACCGAAACAAACTACATGCATTGGGGCAATTTGCAAAAACGGTAGAGTAAACAGGAATAATCATCAAAATTGAAGACTCGGCAGTAATTTGATTGTTTTTGTCAAAACTTTTTGGCGCTGAAAATGGTCAAGAGGCAGAGGAGAAAGTTCAGCGGGCCGGCTCTTTTTACAACCCAATCTCTTCGCTTTTTTACAACGAATCGTATTCGTTGTAAAGACTGTGCGATTGAAACAGAAAAACGGGCGCTTCAGCACAAAAGGCAAACTCAGTTCAACGTCCAAATTACACGCTGTAACAGGCCCGGTGCAATGCCGGAATGGTGTGAGAGGCTATTTCGGAGCATCCGACGCCCACTTTGTTACAATTATAATACAAAGAATGTCGCAGGCGATGATGTGAGCGGGTTTACACTTTGCCCGAAGCGCGACAAACAGGAGGTTCGATTTTTTCCGGCCGGAAGAAGGGCTATTATGTTGAATGAAGCAATACTGTGGGGGACCTGATCCAATGGTAAAAAAGGTACCATTTTGCATCTTGGAAGCATCAAAAAATGTGGCAAAATACATCCCTCTCCAACCCTTCAAAACGAAGTTTTCTCACTTGGAGAGGGAAGCATTTTGCCACATTTTTGACACTTCCCGAATCCAAAATGGTACGTTTTTTGCCACCGGATCAGTATGTCTAATGGAGCAATAAATGGACCAAAACTTACAGGGGAAGCACCCTAAGTGCAGAGCTCAGATTTTAATGAAAATTGGCACAAGTTTAGAATATTTTTTCCTTACACATACACCATAATAAGCTCGCGCTTTGCAGGCAAAAAGATGACATTTTTTTGCGAATTTTGATTTTAAAACCTTTCACAGCTACCTCAAAGCGAAGTGGAAACTCTTGTTTGCGTTTTGCGTGGGCTCCTGTATTAAGCGATCTTTACGTCCGAAAGAGTATACAAAATTCGAAGCGAGTGTACGCAAAATTCGGAGTGTATAAAGTGAAACATTTTTTGGTCATAACATTGCAAGTTTCATAGAGAAAAAATTGATTTTTGGTGGAAACATTGTCCTCTACGGTAGAAATCAGAACATTTATTTACTTATTCTTCTTTTGCTGTTGAAACTGGCCGAAAAGTTTCGCATTTTTTCCGACTTTCGATCAAAAAAATGCTGGTCGTTTCTGCAAAGCGCAAGCTAGCAGTCTCATATAGATCGTAGAAGAAATCATTCCAAATTGCGCCAAGTTTCATCAAAATTTAAGCTGCACACTTGGAACACCTCTCATCTCAGCCACACTTAAAAATTCAAAAAAGAGAAGATAAATCAAAAAACAATTTTATTCAAGAACTGGCATGTTGACCGCTCATTTTCTGCTTATTCAGAGCAACGAATTTGAGAAGCCGATTGGCCCAGTAACAATCCTGATCAATGTAGCCGCCATCGCCATCTGGGAGGATTTCGCTGACGTTCAGAGGGTGCTTACATCTGGAAAATTAAGAGGAACTTTGAAAAAAGTTTAACAATAAATTCAAAAACCATGGTGAGACTTCCGCAGATTGGCCAAACCTCAAAAATTGAGTCTTTTGAAAATAAAAGGGCACGACATGCGGCCGAGATTTATACGATAGAAACTTGGGCAGGGGGCATGGTCAGGCCCGATAAGCTTACAGGGGGAGTACCCCAAGTGCGACGCTCAGATTTTCTTTAAATTTTGCACACACGTCGGTTATGGATCAAGCATCAACTCATGAAAGTTTTAGCTCGCGCTTTGCAAGCTCCGCCGAGATATTGAACGATCTTTGCCGCCGAGAGAGTACACTAAACGCGGAGAGTGGTCAGAGAGAAGAAACATTTTTTGGCCATAAATTTGCCAGTTTTGTGCGGAAAAAATTGATTTTTTGTAGAAGCATTACCCTTTACGATAGAAATGGGCATGCAACTTTTCGTGCCGAAATTCGGTAAAGAGTGTCAAATTTTCGCCAATTTCCGATCTTGTTTCTGCAACTCTCGAGCTGGGATTCTCGCATATATCTTAGAAACAATTATTCTAAATTTGTGCGAAGTTTCATCAAAATCTGAGCGTCGCACTTTGGGTACTTCCCTTGTTTGCTCCGGCTCAGCATAACAAGCTTCAACAAGCCCCTTTTACTTAACGTACGCAAAGATAATAACCTTCTATCTCCTGGGTGCAGCTCGCACCGACTTTTAATTCTTTCCGAAGATGGCCAATCTGCAAAATTTTTTCCAAAATTAGGATTTACCTTGAGCAAACAAAGCATTTATCATGAAACAATTCCCTTCCATTGACTCGGATACAAACGTCGACGATTCCCCGACCACATGAGACGCACTTCGGGGCATAATGACCGGCAAAACATGGGGAACAGCAGATTCTTTGCCGATCCAGCACTTGGAAGGTTTGGTCCGGCTCGATTGGCTGTCGGCACGCGCAGCAGAGGAAATGCTTGGCGTGGTAGGTCTGGAAAGAAATTACAGTGAGATCGGCCACAAAAATTGCTGAATATTTCTGCCGCAGTTGCCAGGAGCGATCTAAAACTTTCAGTAATTCATATTCATAAGACTTATGGGCGAATTTGCAAAATTTAAAAAAAATCTAACAAAAAAAGTACCTCCTGTATATATTTGCATCATAAAGGTTCAGTAGATGGGCCTCCACCCCAAGAAATGTAAAGTCATTGGCAACTACGAACGGAAAATATTAGGTTGATGCAAAAGGAATTGCGGATTTTTTAATTTATTCGTATTTTTTTATAGGATAGCTCAATTCAAAAATGGAAAAAGGTATATAGTAGTAAATTTTTAGAGGATTTTTTCTGTATATGCGCTATTCTTATAAAAGTTATCAAACGTTACCATAAGTTACCACGAAGGTACCCTAAACATGTTAGTACATTTTAAACCAATTTTTTTACATATTTTTTTGCGGCTTTATCCATTTTTGAAAATATTTTGATAAAATACGTTATATTCTATCAAAAAACAAAAAAACCTCCATTTTTGGCTAAGCGTTAAAACGCTATCCCAAAAATTCAAATTTCAGCAAATTTTACAAATCGTGTCATATCTTTTTTTAATAAGTCCAAAATAAAAAATTCTTTTTGATTTCGATTAGTAACAACATTTTTAAGGCTTTCGTGAAAAAAGACATCAAAATCTTGAATTTTATTTTTTGGTCAAAAAATGTCAAAAAAATAATTTTTTTTGATTTTGATGTTTTTTGTCACAAAAATCTTAAAAATGTTGTTACTAATCGAAAGCAAAAAGAATTTTTTATTTTGGACGTATTAAAAAAAGATATGACACGATTTGTAAAATTTGCTGAAATTTGAATTTTTGGGATAGCGTTTTAACGCTTTGCCAAAAATGGGGTTTTTTTTGTTTTTTGATAGAATATAACGTATTTTATCAAAATATTTTCAAAAATGGATAAAGCCGCAAAACAATATGTAAAAAAATTGGTTTAAAATATACTAACATGTTTAGGGTACTTTTGTGGTAACTTATGGTAACGTTTGATAACTTTTATAAGAATAGCACATATACAGAAAAAATCCCCTTAAAATTTACTACTATATACCTTTTTCCATTTTTGAATTGAGCTATCCTATAAAAAAATACGAATAAATTAAAAAATCCGCAATTCCTTTTGCATCAACCTAATACTTATCACAACTTGTCATTGGATCAAATGTCATCCGCAGGCTGCCAAAAAAAATTTTTTTCGGTAAAAGTTCCTTTTTTGGCCACAACTTATAACTTTGCGGAAACTGGTCGGAATTAGCCCAAATTTAGCGTACAGGCTCAATTCATCGTTGTCAATGCCCGGACAGTGGATTTAGTTAGCGAGGTACCTTCTTTTTTACGTACCGCCTTACCCTTCAAAAACGGCTGCAGCCTGTGATTTTACACTTTATACGATGAAACATGTCCGGAACTAAACTTATTGACTCCGTATGGAACGAAATGAGTCGTCACAGCCTTCGTAAGTACCATTAAAACTATAGAGCTATTATAGTAATTCAGTGCCAGCTGGTTGAAGCGTTCTTTCCTAGCTTTAGTGCCCAAGCATGGGCGCAGTTCGCGGAGTACCTTTGTTGTGGCCAAAATAAGGAACTTTTTCCTTTTTTTCAACTGGAATTTCTATTGTAAATTACACGTATATGTTTCAGCTATTATTGAAAAAACGTTTGAAAATTCCCCATTTTTCAGCAGATTGGAAGAATCTGTTTTTTGTGTGAAACTTACATTCCCGTCAACACAATATGCCGGCTCATCCTTCATCGCCTCATCACAATGGGCACATCGTTTCACAATCACCGCCGGGTCTTCCTGATGAACACAGAAATGCCGTTCTTCCCGGCGCTTGTACTCTCTTTTCTTATGCTCCATCGACCGGTCAAGTGGAAGAAAAATGGAAAATGAAGTTAAAATGAAAAAAAATTAAATTCAAGAGATTTCAAGTATGGAAAAAAAGGACAAGTGCGATGTTCAGATTTTGATGACATTTGGGACAAATCTAGAATAAGTTTGTGGTTACGGTAGGGGCCTAATCCAGTGGCAAAAAACGTACCATTTTGGATCCGCGAACTGTCAAAAATTTGGCAAAATGCTTCCCTCTCCAAGTGAAAAAACTTCATTTTGAAAAAAAGTAAAAAAAGCGGGCGCGCTTTTGAAATAGGATGCAAAATGGTGTGTTTTTTGCTACTGGATCAGATCCCCCACTGTAATTGTAAGTCCTATTTGAGACTCCTGGCTCGCGCTTTGCAGAAACCACCAAAATTTTTAGATCGAAACTTGTAAACAATGCGATATTTTATGCAAATTTTGGCATGAGAACTTTCATAGTTATTTCTACTGTAGACGGTAATGTTAATTCAAAAATTCCATTTTTTGAAAAATAGATACGGCCAAAAACTATTCTTCATTCTGACCGCTCTCCGCATTTCACCTACTCTCTCGGCCGTAAAGATCGTTTAGTATCTCGACCGCCCTTGCAAAGCGCGAGCTAACCTTTTCAGTAATTGATGTGCGGCCTATGCTCGAAGGGTATGCAAAATATAAGCAAAAATCTAAGCGATTCACATAAATATTTTTTTTTCAAAATTGAAAAGAAAGAAATTTGTCCTAACTTGTTACAGTATTTTTTGGCTTTAGGAATTTTTTGTCACTTTATCTTTCTTTTTTGTTTGTAGAATTTCAATTCGTATCTGACTATTACAACGTCCTCTTTTTGATCCCAGACAAATCATTTTCTTCGCCGCAACATCATCCGTTGACCTTTTCCAGACGTCCCGTGCTTTAAATTTATTCCTTGGCAATTTTCCCAACGTCCATTAAAAGTGCAACATCCTTTTTTTAGACGTTTCGCTGTTTTTGTTTTTGATCAGAGTACGTATTTTCTGATTTGTCTGAACTTTCGGAGAAATCGTTGTTTTTCGAACAGCTTTTCTCCTGTATTTTGCATTGTATGACATGTCAATCTCGATGAAACTTGGCAGAAGTTTGTATCTTTTAGCCGTGAAATTGAACCTCAAAAATATGTTTTTTGGCTCAAAAATAGCAAAGATATGACCACAAACTAACAGGAAACTGCTCCAAGTGTGCTGTTCTGCCTTTGACAAAACACGGCGATTTTTTTTAGATTTTTTGGAGAATACACATGAAATTACTAGCTCTCACCTTATGGGAACTGACATGAATTCTTGTCCGAAGTTAAAGTTGGTATCAGTTTGCCTGAAAAGTCTCAATCTCTCGGGAAAATAACGTGGATTCGTAACGCCCTGAAATCGCCCGTCATCGCTTTGCGACGGCTAGCCGCAGCTGGAAATTAGGCGCGTGACTTCACCCCTTTTTCGTTGAGGTGTGTTATCAGTCTGTCGGGAAAATAATGTGGATTCGTCGCAGCAAAATTTCGTGCGGTCGTGTACTAAATCTGCAGCCGCGGCTAGCCGTCGAAAAGCGATGATGGGCAATTCCAACGCGTGACAAATCCGTATTCACATTATTTTCCCGACAGACTGGTATTGCCATTATACTAGTCCTTCCAAAAAGTCGCTTGACTGAAATCGGCGACGCACAATGTGCGAAAAAAAAGTTTTCTTTGCAACGTGAAATTTCTTGCTTTTTGCACCGTGCAAATGACTTTTTTCGGACTTTGAGAACGCCAAGAAAGAGCCTGGCGACATGCATTGTGCGCGACCGTTCTTTTTGAGTCTGTCGGGAAAATGATGTGGATTTGTTGTGCCTTGGAATCTCCCATCACCGCTTTGCGACGGCAAGCCGCGGCTGGGGCTTTGACTGCGACAAGACGAGACATTTCGCTGCGACGTCGCCTTTAACTTCCCGACAGACTGGAAAAAAGAAAATGCGACCGTCGCACTTGGGGTGCTTTCATTTTTAACATTTTTTCAAAACAGAAAGCAAACTTTTTTTTCTAAACTTGTTACAGTACCCCTTTTCCAATTGTAGCCATGTTTTGCCACCCGCTATAAAATTTTCGTCCTTCTTGTTTTATGGAAGGAAAATCGGAGCGGCCCCACTTCCCTTATAATCTAGAAACACGCCTGTTGTAGGCGATTTGTGGCAGAAACATTTGTTTTGCCGGAAACTATCGTAGTCTCTGATGACATTGCCAAGTAGAGAAACGAAGCAACAAATTGACGGGGGAATTGTACTCTTTTTTTTCTTGTACATGTGCCATGCAGTGCCTTTAGAAGAAATGGCCGTTTGCGTAGTTGTTATTACCGTCATGAGTTGGGGCGGCAATGACGGTGTTTTGTGGAAGGATCGGTTGTTTATTCACAGGCAATCTTCAAGGGCTAGTACATGTAAATCCAGCGTGGTTGAAGCGACTTCCTGACCAAGGTTTTGATCAATGTGGCGTTTCGTCGTAAATAGAATTTTGTAGATGCTCTCCGGCTGTTTCTTTTTCATGCTTCGCCAGGACTAGAGGTGGCAATCGGGCTGGGCCGGCTCGGCCCGGCCGGGCCCGGTGATTGGGCCGGGCCGGGCCTGAGCAGATTTGAAAAAGCCCTGGTTTTTAATTTTGCGCAGACACACGTAAAAATCTTCTGGAAAGCATAAGAACTTCCAGTAGAAAGTGCAAAGACCTTTATCCAACTTTTCTGTATTAGCGGGCCAAACCGGGCCGGGCCGGGCCGGCCTGGGGTTTCATCGGGCCGGGCCGGGCCTGAGCAAATTTGAAAAAGCCCGCGGGCCGGGCCGCAAAAATCGGCCCGGCCCGGCCCGATTGCCACCTCTAGCCAGGACAAACCCTTGGTTTTTGCTCAGAAAATATGTATAATAATTTTCTATTTTTTTTTTGATTTTGTGACAATTTCATCCGCCAAAAAATTTTCCGAAAGAATTTTGATAACCAGGATGTTTTGTTCAATCGATAGTGTGTGAAAGTTTGACCATGTAGTTCCATTGTTTCGGGTCTGGAAAGACGGCACATGTGGGTGTAAGCGTTTGCACATAAGAGTCTTAACACTGCACTTTGCCATTTTTGGCAAGGCGAGGTCGGGATTGGTGACAAAGGGCGAACGACTTAAGACGGAGCTAATAGATGTTTACGAAAAAAATAATTTATGTTTTTGCAGAAACTGCTGAGCCTTCGGAATTTACAAGCAAGTGCAACGCAGCAAAGATTTTTTGCTCCTACTTTTCAAAGTCTAGAATTATGTGTTTTGCCAGCGACTAACAAGGGAAAAACCCCAAGTGCGACGCTCGGATTTTGATGAAACTTGGTACAGATTTAGAGTAATTTTTTCTAAAATATATGTGAGAATTCTAGCTCGCGCTTTGCAGAAACAGCCGAGATTTTTAGAACGAAAGTCGGCGAAAATTTAGGACTTTTTGCCGAATTTTGGCACAAAAAGGTTGCATTCCTATTTCTACCGTAAAGGGTATGTTTCCACAAAAAATCAATTTTTACCGCACGACACTGCCAAAGTTATGGCCAAAAAGCGCTTTTCTCTCTGACCGCTCTCCACGTTTAGCGTGCTCTCTCGGCGGCAAAAATCGTTCGATATCTCGGCGTCGCCCGCAAAGCGCGAGCTAAAACTTTCAGGAATTGATATTTAGTCCATACTCGAGGTGTGTGCAAAATTTTAAAAAAATCTGAGCGTCGCACTTGGAGTACTTCCCCTGTTAGTTAGATATAATCAAGACCGACCCGATTGATTTCTGGTTGGGCTGGGACCCGAAATCATAAAATTAATCGGGTCCCGGCATAGCTTGTCATTTATTTCGAAGCCTTTCACATGTATTCATATTAATAATATCTATTAAAAGTTACGGATGTTAGATTTTTCCGCAATCTTTGCATTTTTTGCCAATTAAAACAGGGTTCGCGAGAGACTCGAGAACCCCTTGGCACATTTTTACCAAGTTGGTCCTACAGGGCCGAAATTCAACCCAGTTAGTACACTAGCAAAACAAAATTTTTTGGCATTTCTATTTTTTCGAGATTGGGCTTACTGTAGGCGTACTGTACTTTTACCGCAAATTTTGTATCACAAAAACTAGACATCCCAGAGAGTCGGGAGTGGTTCGAGTGGATTGGTATGGTAATTCTAAGCAAATTACTTATTGGCAACTTTTTTCTGAAGTTTTGCCTAAGGTCAGAAAAAATTGATTTCTTGAATCCAAAGTTACAGTAACCCAGATTTCTCAAAATTTTTCCATAGTGCGGCAAATTTTGAAGCCTTTATTTAGAAGTGCATTTTAGTGCCGTTCCAACGAGCCTATGAACACGTCTGTAGAGTGTCTCCTGGGGCAGAACCAGCCGTTTAAAGTTTGCATTTACAGAAAATGTGTCATCATGACATAGTGTACATTTTGTCAAACCGAATGTATTATTGCATAAAATGGAGGCTGATGGTTCTCTAGACGTAGTCCGACCGTCTTTCGTGCCGATTTACCTATCTGACTGCCATAATTTTAAAAAATTTCAAATTTTGGATCTTCTCCAAATCGGAAATACGAATCTATTCCCTCAAAGTTTTGCCATTTTCTCAGTAAATTTGCGCCTCCATGGGTATTTAGACGTTGTTTACTTCGAAAAAAATCGGTTTTTTGAACTCGCGCAGCTGGTGTTTTCCCATTCTCTCGCGGGCATCCAAATGTCCTTCATTTGACGTTGAGGGCAGATGGATAAGTAAATTCTCTCTTCTTTTTCATCCATCTCTCAAATTTGACATCTTTTTGCATCAAAATTTGGCGTACGGTAATCCCATGCTGAGGTGTTTGGGTGCATTTGGGGAATACGTCGCTTATGGGTGATGCATCATTTCGAATGACTTGTTGAGTGGAATGGAGTGAGATACTTGATGTATTGTTGGGTTCTACTGCGGAAAATAGGTCAATAAATTTGAAATTGCAAAAAG